CCGAATGGGTACACTGCTAATTCGATGTTTTCCCTCTGAAGGGAAAAAGTCGGATTTAGGCCGTCCTTTAGTGGGAGGGGGGTCTCGACCCCCCGGACATGTAGTGATATACCTACTTACCATGTTGAAAATCATTATTATATATGCGTTACGTTCAAACATCTCCTTTTTCTTTCTATTTATTATTTGATTTGACTTCAATTGTACATCTTATATGGGTTGAGTGTAAGGGTTGCTTTTGGCTGAACAGCACCTACTTATTTGTACCTCCACCAATAATGACGATTTATTATGATTTGAATGGAGAACTTTTTTAGGATCCAAGCACCAGCGACACGCACTAGCGAACTAGTAGATTATTGAAAATTGTCTTTTATAGTTTCATAACAAGAGAACACTGTTTCCTGTTGAATATTTAGAATGATATTATGCGCATGAACATATTTATATCTGAAGGAGAATGCAAATTCTCAACTTCAGAAGATTTTGTTTTCAAATTTTCATTGTGTGTGCTCAATAGATTTAATTCAATGTTCGTCGTGGCTTATAGCCAGAAAAGTAGTGGTTTCCTGTGAAATGAACCGATAAAGACTTTCTTGAAGTTCCAATAAGCTCATCAAGATCAGAGTTCATACAAGTATACTTCTCCTATACATTTCAATTTCCGTTTCAATACTGAACATATTGGTAAGTAATATTTTCATATCATTATACATCACATTATTCATCCGATTTGAGAGAGAATGTCAATTCTTCAATTTCAGACCCAGTAAACACAACGCGTTTCAGAAACGTTTCAAAAGTTCCCTAATACGTGTCATCTGAAACATTCCAATGTTAACATAAAGGAAACATTTCTGAAGCTCTTCATGCTATGTGGAATATTCCAGATAATATATGTCAATAAATACGTTTCATATTCTTTTCGAAAATTCTCTGCTTGAAATGTCTCACGTGAATCTCTAGACGTGTCATTTGAAACATCGCCATGTTTACGTAGGTATGTGTAATATTTTTCTGTTGTTATGCGTAATGTGAAACATCTCTGAAATGTTTCGATACAGCAGGTGTTTACTAGTTGTTCAGAATTTATCATGTTTGAAACGTTTCCATTGCACTCTAATACGGGTCCACGATAATATCTCTACATTAACCTCTAGAAAACATTTCAGAAATGATATAAAACTATCGAGTGTGAAACGTTCACCACATATTTTGAAACTTCGTATGCTGACGTTGCCATCAGGATCATGATTCCGTTTTATTGGTCCGGTCCGACAAGAGAGTAGGCGAACACGAAGACGAAGCCATTCTGCCATTCTTTCTTTCGTTGTTCTGTTTCTTTTCTGTGAAAGAGTGAAGGTGAAGAGGTGAAGCCATTTTTAGCGTCCCTTGGTATTGTCAATGTTGAAATATGATAATGACAACTATCAATATGAAAAAGGTTAGTAGGTTCACCTGTACATTCACTAAATATTCGATGCTTGATTGAATGAAATGAAAATCAGCCCAAAATTGAGTACATAGAAGGTAGGGCGGCAGTGGTAAAAATAACCTCAACTTTTTTGTACACTGTTTTGCCGGTCTTAACATTTTTTCAGGTGCTGTCAGAAAAGGGTTTCCTATAACGGATATGGAATTTGAAAAATTATGTAGCAGCTTGGTTTCGCCAATCAGGTCTCAGGTTAGCCAGAGAAAAGGAGAATATTGAATGAAATGTTTTTTTATTATAATTCAATGAGTTTTTTCATAGTATAAAATCCACTTAAACTGCAGTATTATTTTATTCACCCTCCTTTCTTTCCATACACGCCTATATTGATACCAATTGACTACATTACACACGATGTTGATTAGAGTTCACTTTCATTGTAAGTAAGTGATCTCAATTAACTACTGTGATGATGTAGTGTTGGCATGAACAAGAAATGGTTTTATATTTGAAATGTTCCAGTATATAACGATAAAAAAATTGTTATTTATTCTCAAAATAATATATACTGTTATATATAAACATTGAAGAAAGTATTGAAACATGAGAACAACAATAAATAAATAAGTGAACGAATAAAATAACTGAAGAATGATTCTAACAACAGATATTTCTAATGAAGTATATTAATTAATAATCTCATCAACAAAATGAATGGAAATAAATAATAATAAAAATCATTGATATATCCTTTGGTAACCGATAAACTAAGACCTGAGTCTCCTTTGGTATCTACAAAAATACTGACAACGAATATTTTTACAAAGTAAATAAATAAATACTCTCATTAACAAAATAAATGAAAAAATAAATACTCAATAACAGAAATCATCAATATATTCTATGGGAAGGAATAAACTAAAACTTAACTCTTCTTGCTCAGGGGCGGATCCAGGGGAGGGGCATGGGGCCATGGCCCCCTCCTCGGGAACCTCATGGATATGTAAAAATGTAGGAATTTTAAATAAATGAAAAAATTAGTGTTTATGTCTTTATAGCTTGAAACTTCGCAACAGCTCTGAGGAATTGCGAATTGCTGTTTGGCAAATATTTTTTCGATAACACTGCCACTGAGTAATTTGCTCCAAACAAAAAACAAGCTAACGATGTTGTTAGTATCACTCTTCTGATGACGCTTCAAAATAAAAGGGATGATATTCTAAATACTATCTAAGTATTTCGAATGAAGCCAAACGGAAATTGAAAGAACTGAATGTTGAATTATATTCTAAATACTATCAAAGTATTTCAAATAAAGCCAACCAGAAATTGAAAGAACTGAATGTTGAATTTTCGATACTGAGAATAACAGGGAGACTGGTTCATAGACCGAATCCTACGGTTTCCTCAGTGGATGACAATTACAGAATAACTATTTCATCCCAGTATTATCCTTGATCCGAATGATAAACTATCAGAAAATAAATTGAATATATACAACCTTCACCTTTGTGTGCCATCAATAACTGAAAACAAAACAGATGAGGGAATATATGAATTATGAGAAATATACTTGAACAGTTTCCGACCATTTTTGAGGAGAATGATGAAATGTTCTTTCAGTAGATCGTTTCTGGAATGTATATATGGAAGAAAATGAGGAATACCAAGCAAAATATACCAAACAATGGTATAACTGCCCTGAAGGGATGTAACAAACATTTGTTTCCTAACATAAACATTCTTCTGGAACCATTATGTTGCCTGTCTGTGAGTTTTGCATCTTCTGAAAGAAGTTTTTGAATACTCAGAAGGCTGAAAGATTGGATGAGATCCAGAATGGTCCAAGATAGGTTGAATGGATTGGCATTGATGCATATTCACAGGGGCAACTGCAGCAGTCTGAATGTTGATGATATCGACCAAAGATACGTTATGAAGAATAATAGAAGACTGGAATTTGTTTATTTTATATGTTTTTGTCTGTTTCATTTGTTTTGTTTTTCGAAAGAAATATTTTTATTCACTTTCGAACCCAAGTTCTTCAAGAGAAATATTTTTTTATTAACTTTTTTATATCCAATATGATTTATCACAGAATTCTACATATATTGATGGAATAAGAATAGTTTGAACTTGTTTTTTTACACAAGTAATTTCGATACTTGAAAGGAAACTAAAGATTTCATGTTTACTATAAGCAATTTTTTAATGAGAAAGCATTTATCTCAGAAGGTCACCATATAATTTCTCTTCCGCGCTAACCTTATTGAGCCGTGACTTTCTATGGCCCCCCCTCAAACATCGTCTGGATCCGCCCCTGTTCTTGCTTTGGTTTCAGCGAAAACATCAAATATATCATCGTAAAATTCTAAACCGCTAGCAAATCGATTCCTCTCTATTGATATAATTGCCAAATTGGCTAGCCTCTCCTGTCCACTCAAGGACCTTGAGTAAATTATCACTAATAACAATTTACTAAACGACCGTTCCCATGTTGCTGTGGTCACTGGTAACGTTAAGAATATCCTGAGAGCTGTGTTCAGATTGGGATATATTGTTTGAAGCGACAATTCACGCATTTTCCGAAGAATATGAAGAGCATTCATTTTGTCCAAGTCCGTAAACATTGCACATGCTTGAAATTTCGAACTCTCTAATTCGTTGACGAACTCATACGAATCCAAATCGGAACTATATTTCAATGCCAAATCCACAGCTAACTTCTTCAATTCACCAAGTGAAGACTCATAGATATATTACTTCCAAAAAATTAAAGTCTTCAGAAACTTCTGACAGCGCAGTAAATATTCCTCCAAGTTGTATCGATATGCAGTCCAATACTTTAAGGAGTTCCTTTTTCATGAGACTTTTCCTATCCATAATGGAAGCCTCATCATTAGCTTTTTCTGGCTTTTTTTTTGAATTTTACGTTTCCTCTCCTCTCCATCGAAATTAGCTTCAATATTGATTGTTTCAACGAATGATTCAGAGGATTCTAATGGAGACTCGAAGAAATCAGATCTATAATTATGAATTTCATCAGATAGCCCTTTTATCATTTTTGCATTATCCTCAACATTTAATCTTTGGTTCTGTAGTGCCAGATGGATTTTATTAATCTTCAGAGAGTTGTGTTTGGCCCCATGTATCATTTTCTAGGATTTTGTTCCGTTTTGGTAGCGTTCGTTAACTGCGTGTCACTCAACTTTGTAAACTGGTAAATACGCCACTGTGAAATGTAGAGCTTGTAGTCAATCTTTATTTAAAATTGAATATATCATATTCCACATTTTGCGCCCCTAGGTCGTTTGCGCCCGTGGCAAATGCCTCCTTCGCCACGCCCACGGTCCGGCTCTGCTAGAGATCACCTCTTGAAAAGGCCACTTCTAGCCGTAAATGAGCCGTGTTCGTTCGGCATTCGAGAATAGCCCCCCTGGACGTAATGATCGTTTCATTGCATGATGGCCGCATCTCATCGGGCAGCATCGGCACAAGCACAAGCGCACTAGCCGCGGGCGGCCTTCGAACACTCATTTATCCCGACGTAATGATCGTTTTGTTGCAGGTTGGCCGCATTTCATCGGGCATCGTCGGCAGCATCGGCACAGGCGCACTAGCCTTCGGCTCGTGGAGCGCGGAGAGTCGGTCGCAGCCGGCGGCGCACGGTCGGCTCGCCAGCTGATAGAATGGGGGGCGCGGGCGGCGCCACCGCCTCCGTGTCGGGTCGCGGGCCCTCCTCGCTCTTCCTCTTCTCCGAGGACAACCCCATACGCAGATACACGAGGTTCATCATCGAGTGGCCATATCCTTTTGAGAACAACGGAACATAGAACACACGGAAACAGCTAAAGATGCCGATTAATGCAATAGACCAAGAGCTCGTATCACTATTCGTCTCCCTAGCATAATGAAGTTCTATCTGCTCTTTCAACCAAAAATGAGATTTTTGGTGTATTTTGGTTCTATCTGCCAAATTCTTTATTTTGAGAAGTCAACTATTGCAATCTGTTGGAATTTGAGTGAGTTAGTCATAATGCAGAGTTCTATGTACAGAATAGGTTCTTTCGTCTGCATTTCAGTGTCGTGTAAATTGCACTACACTATGAATCAGCTGATATTGCGTGCAGCTACACTAACTAAACTAAACTAAAGTGCAATTTGAATTTTTAAATGTGGTATTTGATGTAACTGGTTTTCCAGTATAGGTGTCCATCAATCATGAATATAATCACACATGTATTTCGAGTCATTTAACGCAATTTCATTCATGCTTTGATTTGAGTGTAATTCACATCTGCTCAGGACCAGGTGGAGATAAACGACACTGGTGTGAAATGCACTTTTCAAAAGAATGCAAGTGTATGAAAGTGCTACACTTTTCGTACGAAAGAAAGGGCCTAATGTACCTCTCTGAATTCGGTGCAACAACATCTAAACTACATCATTTGGTTTATCATGGTCCTGTCTACATCCAGACAGAACTTTGTTTTATCAAACCAATACATATACACCCTTGTTATCCTAGTTCATCAACATTCACAGTCATATTGAGAAGTACATATGAATTGAGCTGATTTTTGTTCACCTTCATATTTCCTCAAGAATTTGAAAGCAGGAAATGGAAAAATCATACTGCATCTGATAGCTGAAAGTTACCAATTTCAAAGATTTCGAAAGTTTTGCTAAGAAACTCCAATACAAAAATATTCCTTCTTCCAAACTGCTGCATTGATAGAAGGTGAACGCAATCAAACCATAATAGCTACATGAATGAGACTCCGAGACCGACAGTAACTATGTCGCTGCATTTCTGGAAAATCTAAGTTGAAAAAGTCATTTTTCACTCCTTCATTCCGATGATTCGAAATATTATATTGAAAACATCTACGTGCCGCTATTTTCATCAACATATTACCATTATTACTATCTGATCTGATGGTACTGAGAACATTCTAAATTAGCTTGCTCATATAATTTTATTGAAAAAAAAAACGTTTATTATTGTATCAATATCTGCTAGTTAGAACTTTGTTGGCTTCTTGACTTCAATAGGAAATTCTTCTGGACAAATTGATTGAAATAAACTACAACTCATTCGAATATACTCAATCAGGAAAAAAAATCTGATCGATTGAAATGAAACGGAATAGATGAATTCGACAGTTCTCGGCACGATTCTGAGCAACTATACTTAGTCCAGATGGTACTTCATTATTCTAGGGCCACGTATTTCTGACGAAAAATTCCAGTTTACAACTGACAATGGGAGGGATATGTCTCCATCAGCATTTTGATTACACAAACGCAGGTCAGCCTTTGGTAATGGGATTGAGATGCCAGACATATTGGCCCTGACTGAGACACAGGTCATTTCATTCACCAATACGACCTTTATGCTCTGTCCTGGGTACGAAGTCCACACACGCTTCAGGTTAAACGTAGGTCTCTGCCTCTATTCTAAAACGAATCTTTCATGTCATCGAGAAAAAACTTCGTAACCAGATAAGTTTGATGTTATGTGGTTCAATTCAAACTCGATATCCAGAAACAGACCAAATATCTCTGTTGTCTCTACTTATCATCAAATGATACATCCTCTTCTCTCTTCAAGTTCTTGCTCTTGAAGCTCGACCTAATTCAGCAGAACCATCCAGCAGCAGAAATCATCATCATCATGCTTGGCTCGTACACTTCAACAGAACGCTTTCGCCATCAGTCACGGCTTATAGCAGCTTATCAAGGAACCCACACGAATTCCTGATGTTAACCATCATTCAGCCAACACACTCGACTCATTCCTCACAATTATAAATCAGAATTTAAGGCTATAGATGTACTAGGTACACTCGGCGATTCTGATCACACACTCATTTTCACAACCTGCCCATTCTTCATTACACCAACTATTCCAGACCAATAAATACTTCATTCTTCGGAAAGACCATCAGCTTCGAAACCCTGGTTCAACAAGAACTGTTCTAGAGTTGTTACCTTGAAACAAACAGCCTACCACCGCTGGCGCAAGGACCCTAACCTCGTGACTAGAGCAGAATATGTTCAAGCAAGGAATAACTGCAGTCAAACAAAAGATGCATCAAAATAATCATACAATGCCAAAATGAGATGAAAACTTATAGATTGTCCCAATGGCTCTCATTCCTTTTGGTCTCTCGCTGAAACAGTCAGGAAGAATTTCACTAATAGTTCATTCTCAACACTTTCCAAAGCCGATGACACATTAACACAACAACATCTCAAGAGAAGACGGACATTTTTGCTGAGATGTTCGCAGTAAAATCCACCTCGGATTCGCCAGACATTCAACCCATTGAAAGTCGAATACTTGAAATTGACTTCTGTCAACGCACTATCAGACGCATTCTGCTTAATCTCTAAACGAATAGGTCCAATGGTCCTGATGGATTTCACCCTTCATTCTCAAAACGTGCGCACCAGAATTGACAATGATTATCTAAAAGGTATTCATCATCTACTACAAGTCGGGTATTTATCCATCTTGCTGAAAGATAGAGAGTCCAGCCAATCACAAAAAAAGGCCTGCCGAACAACTATCGGCCAACCATCTCATTGAAAAATCATGTCCGATCCATCACAAAAACTTGGATTCTTGTTTTGTGCAAAAATCTACAATACACCTCAACAGCTTCTCATGATCTACAAAGCACAGATACGGCCAGTATTAAAATACTGTTCTCATATATGGGGTTCAACACCCAAACATACGCTAATGCTCCTAGATTCCATCTAGAGGAGCGCCATTCGTCTGGTGGGTGATGTCACACCCACCAACTCATTGACCCCATAAGAGCACTGTAGAAAATCAGCGACCATTCACTTTTCTATAGATACTCCCACGGGAAATGTCCTTAGAAATCTCCACTATAATTCTATCACTAACACAATACCAGACGAACTCAACAGGCCCGGTCAGCACATCCCTTCGTCGTTAACCTTGAAAAATGTCGAACAACACTCTACCAGAACTTGTTGATCTGTAAAATGCCGAAACTCTGGAATTCTTTGTCATTGAAAGTATTCCCAAGAACTTATAACCTCTGAAACTTCAGAAAAATTCTACCACCTACCTCGTCTCTCTTATCCTCCCTAGGTACGCACGATATTTCACGAACATTATAGGAATATTCCTTCGTGCACTCTAAGAGATAAGAAAAAAGACATACGGTATATATAGCAAGAGAAATATCCGATTGAAAAATTACTAATTATTTTATACCCACTTGATCTTCAAAGTAGATAAAAAATAATTCACTTTGTTGATATAGTAAAACTGCACGACTAGTGAACAGTCCCAAATTCGTCAAACAATTTTTAAAACTCGTTTTCCTTAATACTATATCCACTCCATTCGAATATGCTGTACTTCTGACAATCATAGCCAACTGCGTTGTATTAGCATTGGAGGAGCACCTGCCATTCCAAGACAAGACCGTTCTAGCGCAAAAATTAGTGAGTATACCCTTGATTTGATAACAGTTCTGTAATTAAGATTCATCCCTGGGGAGGGTCTACAATATGTCTTCAAAATATTTACATCGAATTTTGAATCGTCCTTCATATGGATGTTTCAATAAAAAACTTTTACACATGTTGCAGTCGTGAAGACCACGAGAAATTGATGGTTTTTTCAAATTTTTTTCATCTCTTCAGAGCTACAATCGTATGTTTTCAATGACAATACCTTACTAACCTCCGACTTCCGTTCAGGAAAATTCTAACAAATCACAAATGAAATTTTCGTGATATTTCCTATACCCATGTCTATTTTTCCTTTATCAGAATTGTTCATCAGATTTTTTCGGTTCTTCAGACAGCTCTAGGGGGGGTCCAGACCCCATGGACCCCCCCCCTCGATTACGCCACTGATTGATAACTATTTTGATAAAATCGTTCTTCAATTTGTACCTACGATTTTGTCCGATGTTTTTGATGTTTCAGGTGAACTAATCTTATAATTTTCGTTTGCAGGAAAAAACCGAAGTATATTTTCTAGGGATATTTTGTGTTGAAGCATCACTGAAGATTCTAGCTCTGGGTTTCGTTTTGCACCGAGGATCATATTTGCGAAACATTTGGAACATTATGGATTTTTTTGTAGTCGTTACTGGGTAAGAATCAATCGATCAATTAATCAATATGATATCAAATCTCTTGTGAAATATTCGTAATTTGTGATTCTGACATACATTTTTCATAGATTGAGAAGAGAAAAAAGTTTATCATGACCAGAAGAGAAACTTTTGTTAGTTTGAAATACACGTTTGATGTGCTAATCTCCTGAATTTATATGTCGAGTGATAGTGGTCACGCACATACTTTCTCTTATGTGTCAAATTATATACAGAATAACAGTTCTGCAAATCTTTTTTTATATGCATAGTAATTCATTGTGGTCTCTGGCACCATTTCCAAAGATTCCGCAGAGAATGAGCATATTTTTTGAATATTACTTATGAAGTTTAGAAGTCGAATAAATTACTGTATCTTGAACAGACCATGATGACGAAATAAGGGTCAATTCAATGTTATTCAGCTGTCGTAACCCAGGGTGCCTTGATATCAATTTGTCATAGGTATAATGTCACAAGAGTTACAGGGTCGTCATTCCGTATAATCATCTATCTTTCTTGATTTCAAAAATATAGGTCAAACATTTTGGAATTAGTAATATAATTGTATTTTACCAAATCGCAATTGCCATGAAAAATCAACGAACCATTTTATGCAGGTTGTCATTATTCGAACTTTCTGTAATATTTTCTCTGCATATGTGCTGTTGATTCTTCAACTTCATATACCAACTGCGATTTGGTATAGTCAAATTGCAACCAAAGAATGTTCAACTTCGAAAATTTTGGAAACGGGTGAACCGAATATCAAAAGCCATAAGCACATATTTTTGATATCAGAATGAAAATATAATAAATTTTTTCGAGAAATATATATAGGATGTTCCATTGAGAATTACGAAGTTGGTACCCGTTTCTTATAACAGAAATATTCGTTTGTTTCACCTCGTACAATATCATGAAGGTTCAGAACAAACCCTGAAACTTTTCAACAGTTCAAAGTTTTTTTTCCCAATGATGAACCCTGTAGAAGCTGTTCGAATATACGGGATGACCCTGTACAGATTGTTGAACGCTCCATTTTCAGTTCTTTCTCGAACAATTCATTGGCATCGAGGCAACTTGATTAAACCTATCAGGAAAGTGAACCCCTTCCATTTTCATTTACTTATATGATGTGCAAGGTCGATGACGGTTTTTGCCGAGGCGAATGTCGACGTAGATCTGCGTATGCTGAGATCCTTCCGCGTATTGCGACCGCTCAAATTGGTCTCCAGGATCCCAAGTAAGGGTCCTCAGGACGCATCATCCTTGTTTATATTGAAGACTTGCGATCATTTTGATGTTTAGACTATTATTATTATTATGTCCCACAGCTGATCGTGTAGAGCAAGCTAGCAGACTAGACTTTTAGTCTTGAGGAGAAGTAGTAGTGGATATTTTAATCTTAGATTAGCGATTTTTCGAATACATTGATATTAGGAAGTAGATGAGGTAGGTATGTCAGACAGATAAGAGCAGGAAGTTGTGTGAAAACTATAGACTTTGCATGAATAAGGTTCCCAGTGTAGATATTTTTTTCTAACGTTCAAACAATTCAAAAAAGAGATTTTCCTTTTTATTCAGAATTAATTCTGTTATATGTGTAATTATTCATAATGCTAATTGTATACACCTGTAAATGGGCTTTTGGGCCTGCTGGATATATTGTATCAATAAATAAAATTAATAAATGACAATATTGGCTATTCAAAATAAGCCATACGCCTTATTGCGGATATTCAAATAACCAATGAAAAGTACATTGAATATTTGTTCACATTCATTTCATCGAAAGTTCAGTAGTAATTCTGATATTTTTCGAATTTGAATTCTTCAGTAGAGTAACTCGAATCACATGTTATACACATAGAAGTTTTATGATCTTACAGAAAATGATGATTTAAATCAGTGTATAATTGAGAGATATTATTCTCTCAACTTCGAGATTGAATTCAGTTGCATTTTATTCCTAGGAGTGAAGTCACAGAAGGGATTTGAAAAAATGAAATCCTCACTCGAAAGCAAAGCACATGATATGTTCAATTTTTCCTACAAGAGGTAGATCAATTATTCGCACATACATCCAGCTTTGAGGCCTTTTTATTTCTCATTCAAACACATGTAAGTAGATGATCTGGCTACAATATATACATCCCACGTATGCGTACCCACTTTGTCAACTTAAACATCATATTCACTTCACTTATTTCACAGTATTCATTCCGCTACTGAATTGGAACGAAAAGCAAACTGGTTACGTTAGTTTTGAATGAATATCTGCTTCCTCAATTCAGAAGAGTACACAAATAAACAGCCTAAAGTGAAGTTTCCTTTGCCCAAATCACTACCAAAAAATTTAAATAATACACACAAGCACATGAACCATTTCACAACAATCTACTTTCATATAGTTCACAGCCGACCCCTTTCGCGCTGTGATTTTGAATTCAGTCACCCATAGTTTCCACTTCATTTGGGTGTTTTGATTCATAGAGCCTTAGCCGATATGGATTGCACTGGCGAATAAAAGAGATTGTACTGTTTGACCAACCTACTTCTCTATCTACTTCAGTACAAAATCAGGAATGTTTTCATCGTTGAAAATGAATATTATGACGACATACTATATTCGAGGAATGTCGAATGCCTCTGAGGTACCGTACATTTCAAAGTAGTCACCTATTTCTCCGATGAAGTGGAGATTTGAAGACTGTAGTAAGGCACCAACGAATTTTGGGCATTGAAATGAACATCCGTGAAATCGCTTGGACCAGTCGGTTTCTGATTCGATTATGAACGATTTATCTGCTTACTCCATCCCCGTGACTTCAACCACTTACCAGGGAGAAACACAAACACCGAATTGCGAGGGATGTTGCGATTGAGAATTTTATCGAATACTATCTGAACCTCTAATTTCGAGTCGAAATTTTCATCCATTAATACACGCCTGGTCTGAGAATCAATGAAATCACTTCAATTTCCTAAAACCGACCAATGAACACGCTTTTGAAGTGATCAAAAGCTACCTTGCTTTTTCAATAACTGATAAATTTGCATACCTTGCTTCCGATCAACACACTTCTTTTACTTTGACAATAACTGCCACCCGCACTACCGTCAGATAATTTCCGAGTTTTCTTAACACAACAGGTTTGTTCTCGTTCCACCGAACAAAAAAATACCAGCAGTTCTGTGAAACTGCGCATGCTCCTGATGGTTTCGGATCCTATAGTTGTGTATTAATCTTCCTACATACATTCGAGGAATGTTTTTATTGATGCATACATTTCGAATTGTATTCGAATTTTATGGTCTTTTGGCAAAGAATCTCGAATCGAAGGATTGTTTCGATTGTTTGCCATGATAATGAAATTGTCATACAATTAAACAAGTATTTATCGATGAAAACATTGTCTCTTATGTATTTACCCTCGATAACGAGATGAGAGATTGGATAGTGGAATAGGATTCAAGAAGTATTCAGATATTTTCTTTTATTTTTTGTCAGAAGACAGTTTGGGGACGCACTTCATTTCAAATTTTTCCTTAGTTCATCGTGAATACTGAACAATGTTTCAATTGTTGAACAAATAGTACGTCTACATATTCTTTCTTACAAGAATACTTCTCGAATACTACTCCAATAGGAATAATATTTCCGAGATGGATGCGACATTGCCTCTTCCACTATTTCCTCACTCATTCCGTTATAGATGAGAATTTCGACGCGATGTTAGATGGTAGGATATTACTACATGTAATCTCCAAAATGAGCTATCGCAACACCTCTTATTCTTTTTCAATACCCGGGGGTTATGCTTTCCGCTGGTAGGGAATTGAAGTGACGGGAATGAAGAAAGCAGAAAAATCGTTCCTCCTCGAATAAGAAATAGATGGGTCTAAGCATTTTTCCGATTTTCTCTTCGGGAACCCTCAAATTGTGATGTGAGGTTTTCGTTGGACCACCCTGTATACCCTAATTTCTAGAGATACGTTCCTGGTTTTGTTACCCAAAACAAGATACCTATAGAGGGTGACATTTTGAAAACTTTCCACCTTCAATATCTTCCTTCCAGTAAATAATATGAAGAATCTGAAAGAAAGGTTGATTTTATTTTGAAGGGGGACACTTGAAATGATTAGTTTTAACCCTCTGGTTTCAACTTTCTAGGAGGGCTAAATGTTACCCGTATAATCTCGAATGGAAAGGGGGGTCAAATGGCACATAGTGGTTCAATTCTCTTTCCAACGATACCCTAGTTTATCATTTTCTGTTCAACACTTTTCGAAAAATACTGTGTAAATTAGTGAAATCCACACCCTCAGTAAATAATATGGAAAATAGAAAAGACAGGTCAATTTCAATCTCAAGGAAGCTACTCTGAATGCATATTTTCAGGTTGAATCAGGACATCCTCCTCAGAGGGGTGGATGTTAATCTTCGAACCTTATATGAAAGAGAGGTCAGGTTAGGTTAGGTTGCACATCATTCTAGAGAACGTTCAATTCTCTTTCCAACAGTACCCTAGTTTATCATTTTTTGATGAGCAGTTTCCGAAAAACGCCATTCTGAAGTTACAGAGGTAATTAGAACATGCCTGCACTGAGATGCATGGTTTTCAGGGTATTATTGACTCTCCTGTCAGTCCACAATGAAATGATACTTACCTGAAAACCATGCATCTCAGTGCATTTTGCGGAACCTGCTCATCAAAACATGATAAACTATAGGGTATTGTTGGAAAAGAATTAAACGTTCTTCAAAATATTGTGCATCTTGACCCCTTTTTTATATGTATAAGGTTCTGAGGGTGAAATCTATCTCTCTAAGAGGGCTGAAAATATGCATTCGAATTGTCCCTTTTGGAAATGCAATTGATTCGCCTTCTAGATTTTTCATATTATTCACTGGAAGGAAGATTTTGAGGGTGTGAATTTTTCTAATTGACACGGCATTTTTCGAAAACTGCTAGACAGAAAATGATAGAATAGGACACCATTGAAAAAAGAATTTAACGCATTTCAAAATGGTGTGCCACTTGACCCTCTTCCCACTTTGAGATTCTATCTATCCCTCCTAGGAGGTGAAACGAAAAGGGCTCAAAATGTTCATTTCAAGCGTCTTCCTTGAAAATAAAATTGACCTGTCTTTCCGATTTTTCATATCATTCACTGGAAGAAGTGAGAGTGGAAAGTTTTCAAAATGTAACCCTGTATAATATATTCCTAACGTAATTGACTAGGTACTGTTGGACCATTATATGCTGGACAAATTTTAGATATCGATAGATTAGAATGGAACGTTGATTCAGTATATTATGGCTCTAACACCGTTTGACTTACATCATATGATTAGCTAGTTACTCGATGAGAGTTTAGACTAGACGGTAATATGTGTGCATTTGCTAGAGGCTAGATTTTTGCAGGTTTCTCACGATGTTCCCTCAGTTGTTAGTGGTGGACCCACGCGCGTTGCGGGCTATTCGAGTGCTAAGACCGCTGAAGCTAGTCTCTGGCATCCCTAGTAAGTAGTTCGTAGATATATTATAACTCCTTCTAGACTTATCACTACTCTAGACGCCACTTGAGTGGCCAGAATTATTTATCTTGAGAACTTGACGCTTTTTAGTAGGTATTTTTAGTTTTTCTTTGAGTACGTTTATACCACGACATATACAAGGGTCCGCGAAGGTCATGTCGTGAATGATAAAGGTAGGCCAAAATAATTTTAGTACTTCATATGAAGAATATGTACCTCGTGCTTCGTTACGAAGTTATTGACCTTGAAAGTTAGAACAAAAAAAAGAATTCCATATATAATTTTCAAACGGTTGCCATGGTATCAATGATAATTGGGCAGATGAATAAACTCATATTAATGCACCTTCCCTTGCTTGAAAGACTCTATAGTGGAATCGAATTCTTTCATTTACACACGCCGTAAGAACTGATCATCATCACATGTTATCTCAAGTACAACCCAGATGTTTAGAGGACTTCAGAAAATGCGTTGAAGTTCAAGATATGCCCATATTGAGAATCATTTTCGATAATCTTTTCGTCTTCACTGATGTCATTGAATAGGTTAATTGAGCTTCTGTTTCTGCTGAAACGATTGGAATGTATGTGTTCGAATGCAATTTTCTCTAATAGATATCGATTGAAAATAATTCCATCATTTTTGTAGATGAAAGATGAAGGAATCAAACGATGAGAACAAAATGTGAAATTTGTCACCTGTGTCAAAAATGCCTTGATTAGACGGAAAAAAATCGTCCCTTCCTATATCAAAAATTTTTACTGAAAAGCCGTTTAATTATCGAAAGGACCATTAGTATGAGTTTATTCACCTGCCCGTATATCATGGCATCCGTTTGAAAGTTATACATAACATTTGTTTATACCTACTAACTTTCATGTAACGATGACTCTGTAACGAAGCGCGATATCCATTTTGTTTATCATCAAAGACATGACCTATCCGGACATCTTGCAATACAATCATTTAGCCGAATGCAGGAAATATATACCCGCAGTTTTCGAAATCAGACTCAGTATAGTGTGCGTCAAAATATATCACATATTTTTTGTTTGTGGGGATATTGGAAACCAAGTCTATGAACAGACGAATTGACAAAATAACCACTGGACTGCAGCTAACGATCGCTACATGGTGTGGATTTTTCACTCCAATAATTTTTTAAATGTTCATAAAATAACTTTGAGTTATCTATTTATCCTACATTTCATTCCACTCTGAGCATTCTGGCTATTTCGAACTTGTCAATAATTTATATCAGAGAAATTAAGAAACAGTTTCGATATCATAACAGGAATTTTTGGTGGGCGCTTTTGAACTTTTCATAATATTAATTATTGGAAGAAGGTTATTCTGGAGGTTCGGTTTTCTACATTACCATTCATTATTTCAAGTAATCTCAAGATACTCATACGAATACAATACTATTTACCAATAATTTTGCTATGATTTCTCTTGCCACAATTCTGGAAAAAAAAATCATCTGATAGAAAAACATCTATTGAGGGAAAAACGCATACAGATTACAGGGTATTGGGTATTTATTACGAGCAGTGTTGTCTTGTTTCCGTGACCCTCTAGACGTATTCACTCCTTTCAGAATTCTTGAATAATGAATTTCAAAAATTGAGGTCGTTCAAAAAGTCAATATTGTGTTTTCAATTATTATCAATCTTGTAAATAATGCCTATTTGAAATCACCTCAGATTGAGAAATTCGTGATATATTGCGACACATACACATATTATTTTTAATATATTGAGGTTTCAATAGAATTTGATTGGTTGATCTGAAATTTATTTGTGGATTTCTGAAGCATTCAATCAAACTGCAGATTTTCGAATTATATTTCATGAAAGATTTAGCAGCTGATATATTGATGGAAAAAAGCTCGAATTCATATATTTTCTGCGGAGCTAATCAAGCTAATCTAGACTGATATATTATAATTTGGAACTAGAATTATTTTTCAATTTACATTTCTTTACAACAGCCAAAAAGAGAGTGTTACTGAATTTTTGAGATGAACTTCACATCGCATGTCTCTAAGTTGAGGATAACTAATTCAACATCTTTTTTCGTCTCGAAAAAGCTTTTCTATTTCCATTTTCAATTAGTCTACCTCACCAAATCGATTTATCCGAATGTATATGCTCCAATTCTCGCCGCTTAAATAATAAATGAATGTGGTTATTCAGGTCTGCAGGTGGTTTTGAAATCCATCATCAAGGCTATGGCACCCTTGCTCCAGATTGGGCTCTTGGTTTTGTTCGCCATCGTTATTTTTGCAATCATAGGATTGGAATTTTACTCCGGTGCCTTACACAGAACGTGCTACAGCCTTTATAATATAGGTGAGTTTATTATACATACCTTATGATGCCAAAAAATACAATTTTTTCCTGACCGGATTATTTGTGTAACTCTTATTTTTTGAAGCTTTTAGCATCAAAATTTCATGTTTGATAAATGAAGGCTTGCAATGAAATCGTGGTTCGACGTTATTAAGGTATCTTGTTGTTCTTAAAATATCTGGCTTTGAATGAGTAGGTACAGGGCGATTCATTTTTCAACCGATTTGAAAATTTGAAGAATCATCTAAAATGATTTTTGAGAATTTTTTTTCCTGTTGCATCAGAAAATACAGGGTGCTCGGAACAAACGATCTACAGAGCACCTTGTATTTTCTGATGTAGCGGAAAAAAATTCCTTCTAGATGATATTCAAAATTTTGCAATCGGTTCAAAAATAACTGAGCTAGAGGGGGGGGGGGGGAAACATTCATGGTGAATCACCCTGTACCAATGCAAAATTTATTCAATATCTCAAGTGTGATTCTAGCAATGCAGTGATATACTGTTTTGCTGCAGAAATATCGTGGTTCATTTGAGGTTATTCTAACTGTATAACATCCTAATGAAAGTATATTATCGAGCATTGCAATAGGTTCTTTGGAATTCAGTTTATTTTTTCTTGATACTTCAAGAATTTGGTGCATATTTTAATCGTACCTGAAGGTATGCCGTCGACACTATAACGGAGAAATAATTCATCGGTTTCTGATATATTGAATGATGGAAGTAAAATAAAGATCCCTTGTATTATACTTGCGCGTTATAGTATTGTATATTCTATCCACGTTGGATTACCGGTAGTGGGTTCGAGTCCCACCACGACCGCAGAAATTTTTCTGATGGCCTAAGAAAGTGTTTGGGATCACACGTTAAAAGGTAAGACCCCCATCATTCCTTGCTCGCACAAGTTTCTTGAAGTCTTCTGAGGGTTGCTTGTAGGGGGGCAGCCTGCTGCGATCGCAAAAACTCCAGTAAAATCAAAGAAAACGGGTTCGGCATTTAAAAAAAAATTGATAATGGCAATTGACTCGGACTATAGCCACATATACTCCTTGTTAGCATCTAGCAACTAGATGCGCTACTGCTCAGTTGAATATGCTTAGATCAGAGCCTATGACAGACGTGTGTGAAGACTGGCTCATATAGTATTCGGCAGGCAGTCGAGTTAAGAGCAAGTGTAACCCTTGTCCATGTCATTTGTGCTCGTGTTTATTGACTTATGACCATAATATAACACTCCTATATCAATCTTCAGGAGAATATCTCAACGTTATCAACGTTACAATTCTTGAATAATTTCATTATTAAGTCACCGTGCATAGTAATTATTTCAATAATTTAAATAAAACCATACATGATGGTAGTCAGAAATGAATCATCTGGCTATAGAGTATGAAATTCAGGCCAAATAATAGAGATGAGTTGAGACAAAGAATAATAACAGTTTTCATAGAGATACCGGCGCAGAAGAACTGAGGAGGATTGGAAATAACGTGCGGAAGAGATATGAAAAGTGTATAGAGAATGAAGGAGATTTGATCTAGAATACAAAAATCTGAACTTATTGTTACTGTTATAGTTCTTCTCCTAATCTTCTGTTATATTATTCAGTTTTTTCTTCTTTTTTATATTTCGATAATAAATTTGAATTTATAGAGATTTCATTCGTTATTTATCTCCCTCTGTAGACAGATAATCTAATCCTGGCTGCCATCATGCCTGATATTCAAATCATTATGGAAATTATTGAATATGGTGAATTGAAAAATGCAATTATTCAAAAATTGTAACGTTAATTTAAAACACTCCTGATGTAGTATTTATGACTAGTCCGAATGGATTACCATCATCAACATTTTTGTTATAAGAAGTCTAATCCGTTTTATTCAATTTTGCTGGAGTTCATGTAATTGATATACTTTTTTTCCGCTCGACAGAGTAGATAATTTTGAGTAGTATATTATGAGAGAAAAAAATTTCAAAACGCCATTGGAATACGAGAGTACACAGGTGGGCTGGACCAAATTGTAACACACTGTATAACAACAATGCGTTGTTCCCATCAGTACTGATCCCTGTGGTACTCTGGTATTCAATTCCAGCTACAACCGAATAAAATGAGGTCTCAACTCGGTTTCTACTGTAACGTATGATTTGAACCATTTGCAAGTATTCTCATAAATGCCAAATTGGCAAAGTTTTTGCAGCACTATTTCGTGATTTACGCAATCGAATGCCTTGGAGGCATTCAAAAAACTAGATATTCAGCACAATTTCATAGTTGATATTTGTTTCTGATATAATACAATGATCAGATACCCTTGTATTGATTCATGATCAACGGGATCGTGTAGAATTGAGGTACGTGATTTATCCTTTCCTCGGAATCAAAATGTAATCTTCCAGCGGCCGATACACACAATAACGAATTCGGTTATTATTCAGACTCATCCGTTATTTGGTACATATCGGCCTTGTAACCCTTGCTTTATAGATCCAATGACGTAACGGAACGCAAGTACTTTCGTTACACGATAGAAGATAAAATATAGGATTATTCCAGTTTATAGAATGTCGTTCCGCAAGACACTGATCGTGGCTCCAATGTGAGAGATGCCCAACCTCATGCAGAAAAGTGGTTGGGTTTATTGTCAGGAATTGATTAATGATATTACTTATATAGGTAATTGTTCTACATACATTATTGATTACGGAGTTCTGAGAATCCTCATCCAGAATTATTCCATTTTATATAAATTAAACACTTAATACCGGAATAACAATGGAGAAGAAGATTGCGCAGATATTTTATATATCTGTTAACTTCAATTTATCATTGTTTGATGATGAAGTAATTGATGCAAACTATTCATCTGGGGAGATCATGTAAGAAACCTATTTGTTGCTCTTTGATGTGTGGAATTGAAGCTGGAGCAGATTGTTGCGGTTGCAAAGAATCGAATCCATACGAGTATATTTGATTGCTGCCGCACATAATAGAACTCCAGCTGTATAGCAGTGCCAAATTTCCATAATCCAGGTTATCATCCATTGGTGGAATTGAAATACATTGAACAGATTGATCCTTGTGCTTTGAGACAATGCTAATTCTGGAAATAAAACTTGATAGTCCGAACGAAAAAAATGAAACAAATTGAGGAACATCTATAAATTCCCACTTTTTTTTTCATCGTCTCACGGTACTGATTACGGGACGTTGATATATAATGAAAAATAACATGTATCGTCAAGTTATAAATTAAATATTTCCTGAAGAGGTTTTCATATAAAATGGGCGGGAAGTTCCCTATATAGAAGTTGTTTTCTCATTGTGACGTTTGTAAAAATTTTATATATACGTATCGTTTCTTTTTTATCGTTGGATCAAATTTCACTCCAGAAAAAAATAAGTAAAAGAGGAACTTTTGGCTCCTCCAATATTCCTATGACGTTCTTTCTGAAAATCCACATTCACACAGTTGAAATACGATTCGCTGAGCCAGTACGACGTTGCCGACATCATCAATCCTACTCTGTCAAGTATTATGAATAATTCCCATAAATCTCTCATCGGCTGAATGAAGTTGATTACTGATAAAGATAAGTTATGATATTTTGCGATAGTATCTATAGGAAGGAGCCATGGGTGTCAGCTTCATTCTGTTCTGACCAATGACAGTGAATTAGGAAGGATAGTATCATATTGAATGTAGCCGATAGTGATTCATTCATTCAATGATATTTTAGTTTGGGATCGAGCTCTATTCGAGATATTTCGATGCATAAATATCAAAACCATAACCTGTCAGAATGAAGCCAACTACCTTGTGCATTCTTGTTCTGAGTGCATTTGTGGTTATGTATGTTTCAGTTTACCAGTTTCACTTTCATTCGTTAGCTATTCGTTATCTATTCGCTAGCTATATTTCTCATCATCAGCTATTTTCAGACTAGTTCAGAATGTACGTCACAGTTTGCCGTCCCGAAAATTAGAAATTGCTTTGATTTGAAAATGAAAACGACTTGGACTTTATTGGTCGCCATCCTGTACAGCGTGGACATGAAACTGGAGAGTTCCGAACTCATTTTATAAAAAATCATTTGAATGAAACTTCCCCATCTATTATCAATCTCACAATCTCAATATAGTCTATATTATACAACTCAAGATTCAAGGAATTAGTGAAAACTATCGCTGTATTCTTTATATTCACATTTCGTGTGTTCGAGCCAATGGATGATCGATGATTTCCAGATGAAATCGTCAAAGAGGGGGATGAGGAGACGCCGTGCAACACCGATAACGAGACGCAGGCCCGCAACCAGGGCAGCAACTGGTGCAGAGATGGCAACAGCGTGTGCCTGGAGCGGTGGCAGGGCCCCAACAACGGCATCACGTCCTTCGATAACATCGGCTTTGCCATGCTCACCGTCTTCCAGTGCATCACCATGGAGGGATGGACGGCCATACTCTATTGGGTGAGCGGGACGATCGTATAGTAGCTAGCATAGATATATGAAGAGAGGGGAGATATGACATTACATTCATGAAACACTATTTGTTTACAATCATACATACTTCCAATTTCAAATGAGTTAGAAAGAGATGTCTTCAGGAATGGCAACGCTGTGAACTGTGCGTCAATGTTCACACTTTCATTCATCAGTCGCATAGGTTGAGCGAGGGGCATGACAATTGTACATCAATGACCTATCCAACGCTATTATACCTATCAGCGAATTTTAAACTCGAATATTTTAATTTCACCAAATTTTAGTATAACCTTAACTAATTTTGATCCATCATTCAGAGGAATTTGACCCAAAAAAAACAAGGTTTCTTGAAATAATTCAGTTAAATAACCTGCGAATACTACAACACTGGTCAAGTTGAAATAAACATATTATAACCTTGGGGTTTGTGCTGTGAACTTTTTCACAATTCACGCACTGGTGAACCATAACATACTTTTAGAAATTGTCTTCATATATTTTCATAACAAGAAAACACTGAAATTCAATTGAAACAAAAAAAGTCCTAAAATTGTCACAAACACAGCACAGTAACATCGGATTTTGGCATATAACCTCCAGAAATTTATGAACACCAATTCCTACCTCATTTCTCTTGGTTCTCACGATGTTCTATGAAGATAACAGGATATCCGTTTTCGTGGGAACGAGAACATAAAAAAAAACGTTTCTATAATACATTATAATTTTATGTAATGATGAAATTAGGAAAATTCAAATTAATTTGATTGAAGAATTCACATATTTCAATTGAGGAACAAACATACAGAATTGATATACATATACATGTATATTATATAATTAATGTATGGTAAATACTTCCATAGTTTTCAAACACAGGCGGTAGATCTAGGGCGATTCGCAGACATTTGTCACCAGAAAACGATGATGGGTCTGGACAAAATGTATACAATTTCGTCTCGTCTCTTGAAGAAACTTGAATTATAAATTTCAAGTTTACTTTGACCTAAAAAAAATGCTTGAGTGTAATTTGGTAAAACAATTTAAGGGATGCGTGAATCACATTATTGTTGATGGATTTTTCAATTCTTCCACTCCAAAGATTATAAACTATTCTGACAACGCAAGATTGAGAAATGTTGACATAAGTACCATCAAAGATTCGTTTACCATTCTGGTTCATGGTTTCACAAGCAAGATTCAGTTTTGTCAATAGTAAAAACATAAGTGGTTTCTTTTATCGGGTAAATTTTTCTTGATAACGAAAAACATTTGCCGATCAGTAATTTCACGAAAAGAACTGACATGAAGAAATTGCCAGACCGTAGGTCAAAAAATTTTGTCTGATGTCAGGTTTTTGATAGAAAACTGATGGAAATTTTCGAGTTATTAGGAAATTTATCCAATTGAAATAAAAGTTCAAGTGTTATTTGGCAAAATGAATCAAAGATAATATACAAATTAACAATAATAATGATTACCGTTATTGATGATTTCGTCTTACTGGTAGTTTGCGGACTTGATTTTCTAAAATTTTTTGTGGTTTTCTCAGACAAAATATTCCTAACACAGCTCATCATGCTAATTTACGCGTAAAAATACTCAACAATCAAACTTGACATGACAAAAATTGGATTGACATCAGGCGCATACCTACTAGATGAAAGGAAAAGGCAGTTTCACAGCGATAAAAAAAAGGTGCATCCTTTTTTATCGTTATCGAATGACTCACGTCATCGTCAAATGCGAAGGCTCCTACTCTTTTACAACGGAAAAATTCAATCTCGATTGACATATGGAATCACCATTTGGGGTAAAACTTATCTGCCGCTCATGAAGTCTTTATTGTGCAGAAAAGAATTGTACAATGTCTTGCCAGTGTTCCTAATGGTTCCTAATGGTTCCTCATGTAGGGAATTATTCAAAGAATACAAGATACTTTCCCTATGTGTGTTATATACCCTTGAAGTTTCAACTAATATATATAAAAAACGAAAAAGTTCAATGGAACATAATTCAATACACAGTTGTTATCAAGATTAGATTTAGAATGGGGCCTTCGGGCTATCTGCCTCCACACCGCGACCTTTTCAGATCTATTGTGTCTGCCCTCAAAATCGATTAGAGTTCTTCGGCTAGCCCCGTCTTCTCTATGAGACTCCATAGGCTAGCTTTCAGATCCCCTGTGTATCTCTGGGCTTCTGGTTTTTCCTCACCCAGTGTAAGGAACCTTAGTCTTGACAAGCCCTCACAGTGGCAAAGTATGTGTACTGCTGTTTCCTCCTCTTCCTGACAGAACCTGCACAGCAGTTCTTCAGTCAGACCTATCGTACTCATGTGTTTGTTGAGCCTACAATGCCCTGTGAGAAGTCCCACTAGTATTCTAGTTGAACTTCGTTTCTGGCTTAGTAGATATTCTGTGAATGTTGGCGATGGTTTTTTAATAAACTCTTTTGCCTGTCTCATTCCTGGCGATTTGTTCCACCATTCTTGAGATTTGGTTTGCATCCATGATTTGATACTAGTCTTTTGTATAGCTTTCGCAATACCACAGAAGGGTTCTGGGCCATTCAGAGCTTTGTTTGCTCCTGCTCGGGCAAGTGAGTCTGCCTCTTCATTGCCCTCGTACCCTGTATGTGCTGGTACCCATGCTAGAGTCAGTCTGTTCTGACTGCCCAGTGCATTTAGGGTTTCTAAGCAGTCCCATACTAGTTTTGAGTTAACTTGCATAGAGTTGACTGCTTTGATTGCCGCCTGGCTATCTGAATAGATTGCAATGGTTTTGCCTTTAAACTCTTGCCTTATCAATTCTTTCACGCAATGATGTATTGCAATAATTTCTGCCTGAAACACCGTCGCGTATTTACCTAAGCTCAGTGAGATTCTTGTCTTTGGCTTGGCCCCATAAATACCAGCTCCTGATCCAAACCAGTTGTTATCAAACACGAACAATGAATAATTTCTATATGCCCAACGTGAGAAATCAAAATGTACGAAATTTGCACTTGCGTAGGAATCAGAAATACAAAGGTATATAGAACTACGTTTCGGCCTAGGGCCCAGAATTCCCGAGTTCAAATCCATTCCGACATATACTTTGTTTCTGTTTTTTCGAAGTGCTTGACTAATGAGGAAATACTGTAGAAGCATTTACAAGAAGAATTTGAGTATCAGGAAGTAGGGCGGTGTATATAGGTGGGTGTGAAAAATCACTAGCTGAGCGTGAGAACGAGTTTATACTAATTAGAGGGGCTACCACTGGCTGCTCATGGTAGTGAGTACTTCACTAGCCTACAACACGCAACCAAAAAACTTTCGAGAGAGAACTGATGGATGGTACCTGAAAACAGTGTTTGCTAGCTCTCTTAAGGGAACCACATCACTCATTACACATTGGGGCTTGCTTGAAGGCCCCATTAATGGGGACTACTTGCTGACATACAACATATGTCTCTCATTCCTACCAATACTCACAGATTTGTGAAGAATGAAAGAAGTTCTTGCTTCAGAATATAGATAAAGTGGGGACAATAAAATTGATTTGGGAGGTACATTGTTTTAGACTTGATATCAGAATGAACTGAAAGTGACATTTTCAGAGCTTCCATATTGTTTTATCTCCGCTTCCCTGGATCTATTTATGATTTTTACCAGGTTCTTATCATTTTGATAAAATATTTTTCAGATGAACGATGCCATGGGGAGTTACTTCAATTGGATGTACTTCGTTCCACTCATAGTATTAGGATCATTTTTCATGTTGAACCTCGTTCTTGGTGTTCTTAGCGGGTAAGTCTGAAACTTCAAATCTGAAATAAAGCAGTGAATAACGGGATGATACTGCCAAAATTTGCCAGACAATTATTTGGTATTTCTTATGATCCATTCGCAATTTCATTCAGTGTTAAATATCTTTATGATGCTATGATGGGGAGATACTCTTCAAACGAATGATAAAACATACACAAGAGTCGAAGCGAGATGAATAATTACTTGAATTTGTACCCATTTCAATCCCAACAGTGAATTCTCGAACGAGAGATTGAGGGTGGAGCGCAGGGAGGATTACCATCGGAACCGCTTCAGGAAAATAGTTACAGAAAGTTTCGGAACATATATCAAATGGATTACCAAAGCAGGTTATACGATATCCACATTCTCGGTCATACAAATTTTTGAAGATGATGCAGTTCTGTTATTCACTTCCTATTCGAGTTTTCCAGAAATGTATTATAAATACTCCCAAGTTTTTGTCTCTATTCAAAACAGATAACGATACATCATTGGTTGATGAGAATGTCATTTGATGAATATAAGTGAACATCTGAGATGAGAGGAAAACAATAATTGTGAAACTTCGCTAACAATTATTCCAGATAGGTATGCCTGCATCAAATTTTTTTTATCAATCTTCACCAATTCGTATGATCATATTGTACGCTAATTGACGTATTGCTAGAAATATGGCGTACTTTATCGTAGATTCTGCTATGCATTTTTCATATCGACAAATCATTTATTTGCTTTTGTTGCGTGTTCAATGTGCAGTTATAGCTTGCTTTCTTATCCTCTAGGGAGTTTGCCAAAGAAAGAGAGAAAGTAGAGAATCGCCAGGAATTCTTGAAGCTGCGTAGAGCCGCCCAGCTAGAAAGAGAACTGAACGGTTATGTTCAATGGATATGTAAAGCAGGTAGGTGAAATAGAAATCAATTTCTCTAAATATATCAATGATGACTTAGGTACTGGTAGTTGTATTCTAATAATACAATATAAGAATAGAAATTATTTGATGATATATACTCTCTCTTACCTCTTACTGAGATGAACTTGATTTGAAAACATAATGAAAGAAATTGAATTGAATGTTCTTCAATTATCACAGAGGAAGTAATTTTGGCTGAGGAGAGGACTACAGAAGAGGAGAAATTGCATATAATGGAAGCTAGAAGGAGGGCTGCCAGAAAGAAAAAACTGAAAAACATGGGGCGGAGTAAAAGTACGGATACAGAAGAGGAACAAGAGGAAGATGAAATAGGAGATGATGGTAAGTAGAAAATATTAATAACGTATATTTCTCCCACCTATTTTCAAGTGGATGCCCGCAACGAATTGATTCAGTGCAATAATGACTGTTGTTAATCTGCCATTGTGCTGATTTTTATGTTTGGTATCATGTTGTTTCCTGCTGAACAAATTGAAAGCAACTGAAGTTTTCATACTGACATACATAAAAATCTTCCCTTATTTCGACGAGACGCCCCGAGAGCTCGTAACATCTCCTATGAAAAATCCTGCATACCAGCGAGATATTTCCGTACGATTCATTTATTCGTGGAACGAAATGCACCATTCTCTAACCCCCAACAAAATCTTCAATATTGAAGTGGTCAGCTGTGCTAACATGCTTCGCCAAATCTTCGTACCTGAAGTCAAGGGGCAAGAAGAGAGGTCCGGGAAATGCGACAAGCGCCTGCGCTTATAGGGCACGCCATCAAGCCACAGTGGTTCTATTGGTTGATGATCGTGCTGTTGCTCTTCAACACCATCTGTAATGTTTTTGTGGCGGTTTTATGACGTTTTTGATGCTTTGACAAACCCGTGCCATTTCTGTGGCGGTTTTGTTACGTTTTTGTGGCGGCTCTGTGACGTTTTTGATGCTTTGACAAACCCATTCACTTAACATTTTCGTTTCATTACGTCCGTTTATAAGAGTGATGGGGCTAAATGGCGGGGTTAAGTGGTAGGATGGCGGGGCTAACGGGGCTAAGTGGCGGGGCTGGACAGAAACTTCACAGAAATGTAATGAAAACGTCACAGAAACGTCATGGAATTGTCAAAGCATCGTCATGAAACCGCTAGAAAAACGACTCGAATCATCGAGCTATGTTGGCTTAAACAGGTTATTCAGTTAATAATAATGCTTGGGTGAGATAGTGGTCGATTGAGCTAAGAGTGCAGTAGGTGTAATATTGAGTTACTCCGAGAGCTTGTTACATCGCCTACGGCTACGTTTTTGTAGCAACCCTGTATCGTTTTTGATGCTTTAGGAGTGGCTGGGCTCAATGGCAGGGTCAAGTGGTAGGATGGCGAAGCTAACGGGGCTAAGTGATAGGATGGCAGGACTAACGAGGATAAGTGGCGGGGCTGAATAAAAACGTCACAAACATGTAACAAAAACGTCACAGAAAAACGGTACAAATTTGCCACAAAAATGCACGACTGTGTCAAAGCATCAGAAGCGTCATAAAACCGCTCCAAAAATGTCTCAGAATCATCAAACTATATTGGCCTAGGCAGGTATTTCAGTTGAAAATAATGCTTGAGTGAGATATTGGTCGATTGAGCTCAGAGTGTGGTAGGTGCACTACTGAGTCACTCCGAGAGCTTGTTACATCTCCTACGGCTAGATTTTCCCATGATATATTCATTTTGTAACAAAACGCGCCATGCTCTAACCCCCAACAAAATCTTCAATATTGAAGTGGTAAGTTGTGTTGACAGGCTTCGCCAAATCGTCTTACCTGAAGTCCAGGGGCGCAAAGAGAGGCCCAGGCGGGTGCGCGCGCTTCTGGCGCTTTGAGAAGCGCCTGCGCTTCTGCATACGGCACGCCATCAAGACGCAGTGGTTCTATTGGTCGGTGATCGTGCTGGTGCTTTTCAACACCATCTGCGTGGCCGTCGAGTACCACGGGCAGCCGCAGTGGCTCAGCGATTTTTTGTGTGAGTACTAATAGCTAAAAATGAAAAAAAAATATAAGTCAAATCCACATTGATAACGAGGAATTTGTATCTACACTGTGTCCTACTCTCAGGAGCAGCGCCCTTGTATTTTTATATTTAATGCATACCGATTCCTTTTTTTTCTCAACATGAAGTAATTGATGCGATCTACTTTTCTGAGAAACTTCCTAAACACGTATGTTTCTACATTCATAATGATATGAATTATCCATTTATAACCCTAGGGTGAGATGTGAGCTATATAATTGCATTTCCTTCCGAGGAAAATCTAATATTTTTCTACTACTATCACTGAAATATCAACATCTTTTATTGATTTTGATTTTCATTCTGATTTACATTGAAGGAGCAATGCCATTAACAGTAACAGTGTTTATTCATTGTATTACTGAGTTTCCGATATATCAAGAAGCCTAAGAGTTCAGTTATCGAACAAACTAATCAAATCCGACTTATCTGTCAGAATATACAAGAAGTTCTGAATTTCCAGGTGGAATTGTGAATGAAAACAAAGCAATGAGTGAGAATTTGAGTGACTGTCAGTGACCTCAGACACATCGCGGATGCTACTGTTGAGCTGATGTACATGCTTGATAGATCATAAGAAATTTTGAACATATTCTATCAGTAGATGATCCCCTCTAATGCACGATGTCCATGATGACAATGACAGATCTCGAATAAATCGTGACATTTTTAAAATTGATAATGACAAATATTTTTTATAACTTCAGAAACTGCTTTCAGCTCTAGTGAATTGCGCAGTCTCAATTATATTCGGTTTACGCATATATGAAAATATTGTTTTATTTTTCATTGGTTGCATGGGCAATTAACGGTACATCTACGTATGTATACCGCATTTCATTGAAACTATTGACAGTTTCTCATCATCTACATAGGTGACATTTCTTCATCATTATCAACTAAGGCTGAAAAAGAGTTACTTATCATGAGGAGAAATCCTCGACTAATGATGATTTCTCATATCAGTAATGAAAGAAAAATCATGTTATATGATTATATCTAGATGCTCCTAGAATACCTTTTCAGTTGGTCTCTTTTAGTCATATCATATATTGGATCTTATTATTCGAAGTAGAGATTATGATTAATATTCAGATTGCATTAATAGGAGATTTGTGCATATCCCAATAAGATTTTGAGGGACAAGATGTTTCGAAGGATCATCCTCTACGAAACGCTGTTATTTTTCATGATGACATTCCGATTGTTCGATAATAATAATGAAAATTCGAGAAACGAATTGATGTTTTGCAATTTCAAATCTTCTAAACTTGGAAAATATATAAATTTTTGCACCTACAAAATTCTGTGTATGAAACCTCAGGTACTACTGAATAAGTTCTCTGATAGTATCTGAAGTTTTGATTGGAAATCAGAATTGCAAGTTTTATTTGTTTTATAACAGTGATATGAAGACACTGATTATTCAGATTGCACGTATCTTATAGTTATAGTGACCCAAGGAAACAGGTTGAAGCCATTATACAGGGTCTTTCATGAAGTTGGCTTTATATGAGAGGAACTTTTAATACTAACTTATTCTGAAATTCCAGTTTACCGTTGAGTTTTGCTTCCAAAAATATGAAAAATTGCCAACACGTGCTACATGTCAAAAGTTACATTTTTTTAAAATCAATCCCAGAAAATAGCTCGAGTCGAATTTTGGAATAATTACACTATTATCAGAAGTATATCGCATGATACCAACTTTATGGAAGACAGTGTATTTATTTCAGCTCGCACGGGAAGAAATATGTCGTTCCCGTGGAAGACTCAGTCGAATGATGTGGAGAGTAATAGAAGGTTGCTTGGAAGTTTTCAAAAACGACGTACCTACGCGGGTTTGTGATGTGGATGCTCAGGGCCTCACTTCGTTGAAATGAGAATAACAAGATGATACAAAATTCAATGAAACGCCGAAGAAAATCTATTCAATGATTTGAAATTGCTGTTTCCGTTTCAGTTTACGCGGAATTTGTGTTCCTGGGCCTGTTCATGAGCGAGATGTTCATCAAAATGTACGCGCTCGGCCCGCGCATCTACTTCGAGTCTGCGTTCAACCGCTTCGACTGCGTCGTCATCACCGGCTCCATCTTCGAGGTCATCTGGTCGGCTGTGAAGGGTGGCTCGTTCGGCATCTCGGTGCTGCGCGCGTTGCGCCTGCTCAGGATATTCAAGGTTAGGACCTTTGTACTAGACAGGTTGCCTAATGAATTTCCAGCCAATGGGAAAGATTCCTTCAGACAGGAATGTTCCAGTCAGTACTTTAGTACTAGATTTAGTTTTATTTGAAGAGGTTCAGTACCATAGACATATTAGAAGAAAAAAAGAGGGGAAAAATAACTTTTCATTCATAAAACACCATTTGTTCAAAATCATACATACTTTCGAAGTTTCAAATAAGTTAGAGAGATATGGCTTTGAAAATTGGCAACGCTGTAAACTGAATATCAATTTTCACACCTTCCTTCACTAGTCGCGTAGCTCGTAGGTTGAGCATGGGGCAAAAAAATTTTACTAGGATGATCTAATTTTTCAATTTTGATACCGAATATGCGTGAAACCTCTTGGGTACCTACTTACCTGATTTCTATCCATCATCCAGTGTTAATTGAACAAAAAATAAACAAGTTACTGGCAATGATCTAGTTGAATAAGCTGCGATAACCACACCACTGCTCAAGTTGAAAGAAACATATAACCTTGAGGTTGGTATAATATTGGACAATCTCATAATCCACGCACTGGCGAACCATGATACATAATAGACTGTTGATAATTATCTTCACACACTTTCATAACAAAAGACACTGTTAATCAATTGGAACACAAAAAGTCTTAGAAGGGTAAAAAACACAACAACACTGTAGGGTCAGATTTTGACGTACGTGAATGACTTCTAGAGAGATATGCGTAACGCAAAATAAGCGTTGCCACTCTCATTTCCATGATACATATTCCAATCAAGGAACAAACATACAGAATGAATATTCACGAAGAAAATATCATATAATTAATGTATAATAAATGCTTTCCTCGTTCTCAAACACAGGCGGTAGATCAGTACCAAACCGCAAAAATTTGTCATCAGCGTTGTCTCCTGGAAACGATATTGGATCAGGACAGAATGTGAACAATTTCGTCTCCTATATTTTTATGTCCATGTTCAGTACCAGAGTACATACTTTTTGAAGGAATGAAATGAATTATTCCAGTTGATTTTTTAAATTTGATACATTTTTACCATTTTGAGAATATGTCCAATACTCTGAATAGAATAGAATAAGATTTTATTTTTTATTTCGATACTTCTCTATAGGGAGATTAATCCACTGTTTTTTTGGCGAGGACAGCAAATTTTCAGGAAATTGAAATCTAGAACTGAATTTCAATTTCTAGTACATAGATGAAACCTCATTATTGGAAAATTCCCCTTTAGCGCGACCGTGAATAGCGTCACTCAACATGCCCCTCAAATTTGTTCACATTTCCCCAAGGGCCAAAGTCCAAGGACAATATAGTGGCCAAAGCAAATGTATTGAATAGTATTGAAATCTCGTAATTTGTTGAATTCCCGTAAATATTTCAGAATGATCAATGCTGTTTTAGGAATATGTATAGATGTAAAAGTATTCAGACACTTCAGAATAGAGTAGCTAGAAGGATCATCGAAATTCCTTGGCACGATACCTATTATTCCAAGCGAGACTTATGATATGTTTCGAATATTCAATTCCAGTCCGGTAGCAGACACATTATTCTAAGGATGTCGACATGGACCTACATTATGCCCAATGATTTCATCTATCTGGACTGAGTTTTCTTGGATATCCTTTTCTTTTCCTCATTTGGATCAGTCCTATCTGAAGGAATATGCTCGTTTCTTGAGAGCAAGAGGAGCAATAAATTCTCCCAAAGCAATAAAAAATACATTGTAATTTTATTAGCATATTTGAACCCAAAACCTCATCACTTTTATTCAATTTCTCGTTTCAGCAAATCTACAAGTGAGTTCTCAAATATTAAATCATGTCTGCAGCTAAAATGTTTCTTCAAGTAGGTACCTACATAGGAACATATTTTTTGTTTTTCAGTTCTTCATTGAGAACTTATTTTTTGTGTATAAATAGCAATTTCCTGACCCATTTCTTCCATATTCGATATCAGACAGACGATTTTCACTGTTTTCTCTGATGTGTTCCAAGCTGTTTCTACAAGAAACCACACTACAAGTTATAGGATTAGTGGTTGACAAATCAAATGGATTCACCTTCAGTGTCTCAGAAATCGAATTATACCAATCATCCTTCATTCCTTCATCAGTTCCACACACAATAAACTTATGAGGGAAATCAAAAACAGCGAATATGATGATAATATAATTCACATAAAAAAGTTAACCAAAATAGAAATCACCTCTGACATCATCAAAATATCAAATGTGATCGGAGTGGTACTGGCCCAAGGCCCACTGGCACGCTGGCATGCTCGATGACGTCACGATCATTCGTCCATCGCGATGTTGAAAATTCATACGACAACCTGTCTAATTTACTGATCTCGATTCAAGGTCACCAAGTACTGGTCGTCGCTGCGCAATCTCGTCATCTCGCTGCTCAACTCCATGCGCTCGATCATCTCACTGCTGTTCCTGCTGTTTCTGTTCATCCTGATCTTCGCGCTGCTCGGTATGCAGCTCTTCGGGGGTCAGTTCAATTTTGAGGGGGGCACACCCAACGCCAATTTTAATAGGTTTCCTATCGCGCTACTCACTGTCTTCCAGGTAAGTCATGAAATAGGTAGGTGGTTTGCTGTAGATAGATTTAATATACGATTTCGCACAGTACATTCGCGTAGTTATATTTTGCAGCCTTTACCCATAGCAACGACCGCCAAACCAAATGGCAAAACTAAATTTGACATTTCTAAACTATGACAATAACAAGGTGATTCTGGCAGATATCAACGGGATCAAATTGCTTGTTAATATCACGAGTACGCCGGAGGAGGGGTGTGTCACCTCGAAGCAATTTGATCGGGTTCAGGATTTCTGGCGAACATTTCGAGAGCACGAATTGTAATTATCGAGCAATTTCACGACCTATATGAGGAGTTATTTACATAAAATGACGTCATACCAGAGCTGACAAGATGTTGTCCTATTTGTATTCGTGGTTGCCGTGATGCAACGTACTATCAAGGCACACTATTCTGATTGGTAGCTATATTGCAAGAGATGGTAGTTTCATATACGTTGTATAATTGTAAGTGTCAGACCATGTTTTCGTTTTGTCAAGACGAATTGACTGTTTTTAGGCATACGGCATACAAATAACTATTTCGAATAGTGGTCGAACCTTTATAGGTTCATCTTACGATAGTGATGACAGAAAATGTTGAACTGTTGGAGGTTATCACCTACAATACAGCCAAATTATAAATTTCCACAAGCAGAAGACCGCAAAGCTGCTCAAAGATTCACACTACCAATATAGGATGTCATCGGAATAAAAACATATTATGTTGACCACAACAATATGCTTCAGTCGACCAAACATCTGAATATCCGATTTTTCCTGGGTCTTCAAATTGATGAAATATTCTATCCCGAAAATGGGGATCAATATTTTCAGTCTCACCAGTTTACGTCACTAGAGCGTGAGGTTTGTGTCGAAAACAATTGTCTCATAATTCTATCGATAGCGCTGGAGGCTGAGGCCTATTTTTTCGAATATTTGCGAGAGTATTACGTGGACTATGAGAAGAAATAGAAGTTATGGTTGAACAATATCAGTCAGTCAATTTCATGTACCATTTTAACATCAACAGGAAAGATATATCATAAGAAGCTAAATAGGACGAAAAATAGAAGTATTGCTATCAGTTTTATCAACCGTGACCTCACGCCTCAGTAGCGCGATCTGGATCTAGAACAATCGAATCACGGTGTTTCTCAGCTTTTCATTCTGGATGGATATCCATTGCACTTGAAGCACATATTATAGACTCTCCTCAAGTCGAGTTATCGTAATGTTGTCCGAAATCCTGTCAGAAACACCCTCTGAATCTATTCATTGCCCTGCCCACTCAGATCATGCTTTCTACCATCAGCTGCCAAAATTGTCCACCCACCCAAGAGATGTTGAATTTCAACTGAAATGAACCCTGATGAGAAAACATGAATATATGTAATTTTGTCCTAGTAGCCCTATAGGTTATCTACTAACAGGGTCTTCCGTTTTGCCGCAGTGCACATCAACTTCGTTTTCGTGTCAACTTTTACGTTCCAGATACATGAGAAAGCTGACGCGAAGTGAGGTACTACGGTCAGAATGAACCCTCATAAGAAATTATGACAATATGTGATTTTGTCCTCGTAGCCCTGTGGTAATCTACTGACGAGGTCTTTCTTTTTGCTGGAATTGACAAAAACTTTCTTCTTCTTATGACTTTCTCGTTACAGACATTTACAGGTAGTGACATAAATGAAGTGATGTACTACGGCCAGAATGGACCTTCATAAGGAAATATGACAATATGTGATTTTGTCCTCGTAGCCCTATAGGTTATCTACCAACGAGGTTTCTTGTGTTACATCGACTTCGATTTCTTGATGTCATTTACGTTTCAGATAACTGACAGGCGTATACTAGAACGGAGTAATGTACTGAGGTTAGCATGAACCCTCATAGGAAAATATGACAATATGTGATTTTGTCCTCGTACCCTTGTAGGTTATCTACTAACGAGGTCTTTCTTTCTGTCGGAATTGACATACACCTTATAGCTCTTTCGTTCCAGATATTGACAGGTGAAGACTCAAATGTAGTGATGTAATACGGCCAGAATGAACGTTCATAGGGAAATATGACAATTTGTGATTTCGTCCTCGTAGTACTGTATATTATCGACTAACAAAGTATTTCATTCCGGTGGAATGAACATGAACTTCCTTTCTTGTAAAGGTTTTTCCTTCCAGATATTGACGGGTAAAGACTGAAATGAAGTGATATACTGCGGCCAGAATGAAACTCTATAAGAAAATATGACAATATGTGATTTTGTCCTTGTAGCCCTATAGGTTATTAACCAACGAGGTCTCTTGTGTTCATCAACTTCATTTTTAATGGCATCTACGGTCCAGATATTGGCGGGCGAAGACTTGAACGGAGTTATGTACTTTGGTCAGAATAAACCCCCATAAGAAAATATGATATGTGATTTTGTACTCGTAGCCCTGTAGGTTATCTACTGACAAAGTTTCTTCTTTCACTAGAATGGACATGAACTGCCTTGATGTGATGCTCCTTTTCTTCCAGATATTGACGGGTGAAGTCTGATATAAAGTGAACTACTACGGTCAGAATAAACCTGACTGAATAAATATGACAAAATATGATTTGGTCCTTGTAGCCCTATAGGTTATCTACCAACGTCTTTTGTGAACCATCAACTTTGTTTTCCTGATGACATTCACCTTTCAGATATTGACGGGCGAAGACTGGAACGAAGTGATGTACTACGGCATCAACGCGCTGGGCGGGCCTAACAACAACGGCATGATCTACTCGCTCTACTTCATCGTGCTCATGTTGTTCGGCAACTACACGCTGCTGAACGTGTTCTTGGCCATCGCCGTTGACAATTTGGCGAACGCGCAGGAACTCACCGCGGCAGAGGAGGAACAAGCTGAGGTGAATATACATGGTGTTGTTATCTTCCATTAACGGCGTCTATGAATAATAATGCCATGGAAACGCAGTTCGAATGATAGAGTTCCCGACAAAGGAAATTTCGGTACACTTCTTGAAGTGATAACTTCTATAGGCTCGTTAGGCACTTTCTGGGATGGGAGTGATTTGACAAACTCGCGTCACGGAAGCGCGCGTACCACAAAACCGGCATAAGTGTATACCTATGTATGTCGAGATGCGAAGGCGGCTGTCGAGTGTTACATAGTTAAAGCTAATACATGCATCCAAGTCACGGATAGTCGATCTAATTATATTGTCTTCTAGCTCGGAAAAGATTGAATTTCTAACATCATCCACATGGTGAGTTATAAATACGTTTGACGAGATGCAAAGGAATGATCGAAGCTGAAAGAATATGAATTTCCTTTTTTTTTCTTCACTGTTTTTTTTCCTTCTTGTTCACCATAATATGACTGTTATTTTGAGATATCACAATGATATGCACGTTTTGTTCACTATTTGTAATTTCAATTAGATAACAGTCGATAATAATTCATAAATGAACTTATACCAGGAATTACTGTCTGATCATTCATGTCATTCCTACTAGAAAATTTATTATATTTTATATATTATTTGTATGAAATGTATCAATGAAAAAGAGAATGTAATGCAATAACTGAATTAAATGAATAAATAATCTGAATATACTGTTCTCATTTTTTGTACTCCACACATTTTGCTATTATTGTGCAAGAGTTTATTGATGCAGTATTGCAACAGCGGTGGATCATGGCCTCCCCGATCACCAGACTTGACTTGTCTTGATGTTTATCTTCAGGAGTGGTTGAAAGATATCGTGTTCCAGACTCAACCTTCGACCATAGAAGAAATGAAGAACCGGATTCGTGATGAAATACGTAACATACCGAGAGTCGAAATTGAAGCTGCACCATATACTGGGGCGTGAGAGACCTGGGCCACAACTTATGAAATAAAATATACCATTTCCATATAAAATTTTCTGTGGCCAAAATATTAGGCTATGAGCAAGATATCGAGATGCGGTTTTCACAAGCTTATTTATGCATCATTTAGCAACTATCTCATGGCAAAAAAATCATACCGCTGTATATGATATTTTTTGAGAAAATCAATCATTTCTGTCGGAAAGTCGAGAAAACACTCTAGCGGCGACATGTGACTTTAACAAAAGTTCAAATATCATAACGTTGGTAATCCAAAAATAGCTTTTTTCAATTAGTCCAGGTTTGTTTCGAAGATACAGGGTGCTTCTCACAGAAACCTTCCAATTCCCTCCTCGTCCCACTTTATTTTTAGAGATACAGCAGTAATTGTCTGATAAAATAGGATCAGATAATCCTCAACTTCAAAAATATAGTATTTTTCTGTTAGGTTAATGAAGGTTATCTTGGCTGTTTTGGTAATATATTTTCTATTCTCACAAGCCTCTACGATGGATAGTTTCCCAGATACAGTACCTCGCATTCTTAGTTGTGAATGAAAGTGATGATTAGTTGTTCAATTTTCGTTGAAACCTATACGGATTCAATCCAACAGGAGAATAAAGAGAAGCAAGCAATGGAGCTGGAGAAGGAGATGGAGGCGCTGCAGATGGACGCGAATCCTGCCAGAGGCGGAGAATCAGGGGCGGCCATGCACAGCCCCGTGAGGTCGACTGGGGGGCGCAAGAAGCGGGAGGAGAAGGTGGAGGAGGAGGAGGAGATCGTCGGCCCCAAGCCGATGCTGCCCTATTCCAGCATGTTCATTCTCTCTTCGACAAATCCGTGAGTTTTTTTTATCTCTTGGAGCGCACAAGAAGAGATTCCTAGAATGATATTCTTGGAGGTAGAGCATTTTTTTCAACAGGATGTAGAGCGTATTAGAATAGACAATATCATCGAAAATTTCATAAATTCAATTTGAACTAATCAGAAGGCTCCTCTTTGATTACGTTGCTTGCAACGGGTCCTTTTAACCTGATGAAATTGATAAGCGATAATTATTCTGTCAAACATGAAGCGCCTCATATCTATTGGCGAAAGTCACCCTGTTCCATTTGAAACTATGTAGACATGTTATATCAGATGTTATGGTTGAAAAAGAATTAATGTTTTGAATAATGTAACTGAAGTTTTAGTAATAAATCTGTTACCAACTAGTAGAATTAATTTCTATCGTGAACATAAAGTGCGTCATTTGAATTCAAAACTATGAAGACATTGGATTTCATGTAACGAATATGTTATTCAATATTTCTCACATATTAGTAATAAAAACGAGTTGGACCTACCTTAGTATCAAATCTCATTTGACATCCACGCAGAATGAGTCGTAGGGTTCATCTTCTCACCATATCAGAAGCAAATCCAATTTATGAAACTTTCTCACTGAAATTTTCAATAAAGTCTATGTAAGCTTGTGTCTGGAAATGCTTCATTTCGGAGATACAGGGTGTTGAAATACAGAGAACAAATCATTTTTCGATAAAGATTTCATGGGAAAAAAGTTATTTATTTTGACGTGACCTACCAAATACTTGGTTTTCTTAAGTTCTCAGCAACTTCACTTAGCGCCCTAGGAGCTAAGTAACATGGATCGATATAGAAAATATCTCCAAAACGATAACATCCAGCGTAATTAAGGCCCTTATGATAATTCCCCTGATACATAAATATCTATTCACTTTTCACTGTTGAGTTTTGAATTCGCGGTCAGCACCAAAAACGCCATTCAATAATATATCACGTTGTAGTTTACTTGCTTTTCTTAGTTTCGTTTTCAAATCTTCAATTTCATAATGTTATTTTGCGATCATTTCCCCTTTTTCCATGATTATTTTATTTTGTATTTTGTGTTATGATAATAATGGAATTTTGTTCTTGAAATCGTCTGCTTTGTAAATTGATGGAACAGCAGATTCTCTCAAACAGATTTTGAAATCTTCTGTTTGAAAATGGGCCTAAAATATAGATTCATTCAAATCAGATGCTGTTATAAGAAGTGAATTTCAATGAGTACCTCACAAATTTCGCTCGTCTTCGAATTGATTTTCCACCCAGGCTGATTCATATCTTCCTTCCATAAGCGAATGCTTGATATTTGATTTGGAAAATCGAATAAATGATATCCATTTGTTTCAAAATTGGCACAATTTATTATACAGCAAGTGATTTCCATAGCTGCTTTTATCCCGAAAGTATAATAATTATGAAATTTTATTTCAATTCTGACGTTTATAAAATGAATTGTCAAATTCGAAAAATCTTGAATGAAAAAGCGCGGGACGACTATGGTGCTCTTGTCACAATGCAAGGTGTGTAACTTTATAAATTTAAACATTCAAAAATCCTAACTGTTGTCATTTCTGTATCTGAACTCTGATCAAACTATAATACCATCCAGTGACTCTAATGCCAATTATCCACTATCAGTCCAATAGCCCATTATTGAACACATATTCTTCGTACCGCCAGCACCATGCACCATATAGAGGAATTCGTGATAAGTTCAATTGATAATATCTACTTTATTATCTCCAACTTCCATCATAGCGATATTTGGTGGATCTATCCTCTTGAGAAAAATGCCTCACCTTTGGGAATGTCCTCTATGAATCGTGATTTCATCAAGTACCAGTCTCGCTGAGGCCGCACCGGTTTCAGATCTTGCGGAAAACTCGAGAATGGCAAAATACGAATTAACTCACGATTTATACTTTTAGAGAAGTTATTACGCAAAAACCCTGACAGCGAATTTATCATTTTCTGCTATGGAGTATATATTCCAGAAATAATCTCATATTGATAAAGATAAATTGATTTGAAAAAATTTTCATAACATGAAAATTGAAAAGAACTAAAAATGAGTAGTTCTCATACACACAATACTAAACGAAAGCCATTCTGATAATATTCAACATAATGAAAGAGAAGAAATACCCAAATATTACAAAATTACACGTACTTATGAAAAAAAAAATATATATACAGTATGATGCAAATGTATGGAATAAATTCATTTCAAAACAAGACGACTTCCGAAAAAAATCCAAAAAGTAGAGTTCAGAACTTTTTTATCGATGTATTTTTTCAACTAGACGACCCTTCGATGTTCAATTCTCAGTAGAAGATCTCTGCAAGATTCAGTTAACCAAATGATAATCCATTTTAATTTCAATCTTCTTTTGCAAAATTTTGACCATTGGATAGACGATCAGTAGACCTTTCAAACGAGGTGTCACATGACCCCTGTTCGTATTTAAAAAAACCGTCCATTACGTCATTACTCCAACACCGGTGACGTAACATCTCTCATATGAATGTCATGAGATGAGGTTTCAAAAATTAAAACTCACGTGTTTTTGGAATTTCTTCAAATGTCGCCCATTTGATTGATTGATTGATTGTCTTTATTACCCCAAGAAACATTTCTGTTTATGATAGGGATACATAAATACATATAAAAAAAATAATAATAAAGGGTTAACTATAATGAATTCCACTCAGTGGAAACGAATTAATATTGTGTCTTATAAGATTAAAGTTATATTTCATTCCTAAGTAATCAAATCATGCCACATATTTTTCTTTCAAATTGTCCTGAGCAAGTATTTTTTAAGATTGATTTTAAACCTTCTTGCATCATGTATATTTTTTAACTCATTCGGTAATGAATTGTATAAAATTATTCCATTGTGAAAAACAGATTGTTTGCCAATGTTTGACTTGAATGTATTTGCAATCAAGTAATTCAATTGTCTAGTCCCATAATTATGGTCTGTATTGACTTCATTGAAAGCTAAATTTGATATTTTCAACTTATTCCTGGCAAAATGAATAAAGCAACATATTTTAAGTTTATATAACGAAATCAGGTTCAGAAAATGTCTTGGTTTGTATAAATTTATCGTTGGTTCTAGAAAATGTAGATGAAAAATGCACTTAATTGATTTGTTTTGTAATTTCATTAGAGGTTTCAAACGTGAAATATTTGTACTCCCCCAAATAGAAATTGAATATTGCGAATTTGAATAAATGAGGCAAAAGTAAATACATTTCAAGTATTTTATGGGAATAATATTTCGGATTTTGAATAAAATGCCTATGATCGGATTTATTTTATTTCTCAAATAGTCTATACGTTTAGTCCATAATAATTTTTCGCCGATATAGAGACCTAAAAATTTTGTCTGAAATAATGAATTTATTCCATACATTTGCATCATTATATATATATCACGAAGCTCAAAGCTCGTATTCATCCGGAAAGTCTGATGATTCCTCTTTTCTTATTATTTGACTGAACCCCACTATATTTCATATGTAATACCTGATTATTCAACACAATATTCTCTATGAATCGGAATTTCATCAAGTACCAGTCTCGCTGAGGCAGCACCGGTTTCAGATTTTTCGGAGAACTTGAGAGTAGCAAAATACGAAATCACGTTTTATACTTTTCTGTTGTCTTAGGGTGAGAAGAGGTGCTCATTGGGTGGTGAACCTGCGCTACTTCGACTTCTTCATCATGGTGGTGATCTGCCTCAGCTCGGTGGCGCTGGCGTGCGAGGACCCCGTCGACGAGAACTCCTTCCGGAATGTGTTCCTCGATAAGTTCGACTACGCCTTCACCAGCGTCTTCGCCGTCGAGATGCTGCTCAAGATCGTCGATCTGGGCGTCATCCTGCATCCGGGATCGTATCTTCGGGAGGTGTGGAACATCATGGACGCCGTAGTGGTCATCTGCGCGTTGGTCTCCATGGGATTTGATTTCGCGTGAGTATCTGCCGAAGAGAGATGAGCCATTCAGAGTAGGTATGCTACACCGGAACAGCTACACCCCCTTTATCCATGTACCATGAGAAGATCTGAGATACAATGTGTCAATTTTTGATCTACTTCAAGGCCAAGCATCGGCCGCCGCGGGTTAGATATACTACCGAAAACGTCAGACAAACCACTAGTAACGTCTTTTCATCACTATTGACATTAGTAATATATGATAGTTATCCGTTGTATTAGTATCATACTAACACTGTCATTTACAAAGTTGACATCATATGGGAAAAATTTTTAATGACACTTTATTTGGAAATTCGACTTGGGTTTCCAAGTTTTGCTTCAAATAAGTTACCTCTTTTTACTAATCGATGAAAATAGTCTGATTTATTTGAAATTCAAGAGAAGTTTACTGCGAAAAGATGTTTATATTCCAATTTTACACAGGTGTCTCGAATTCTAACGTTTTATTTCAACTGTTATTGATTTATTTATTTCTTTCAATAACTTCGACAAACTGAGCTAAACTCTGGTTAGATATGTGAATTAGTTTGATCATAGATCTATGGTTTGATGATAGATGACTTTGGCATAATTTTAGTACTGAAAAAATCAATTTGAATAAATCAAACATGATAGAAATCATATTTTTGTCGAAAATTAGTTATTGAAAGTTGATAGCATAATTAAGCTACTGATCATTATAGGGATTCCATTTCGTGCGCTCCAAGCGATAAAAAAAATTGTTATAGAAAGTTTAAATTCGAGATACATATGTAAAATTGGAACAGAAACAACTTTTGGCAGTGAGCTTTTTTCAAATTCAAACAAATAGGCCTATTTTCAGCAATTAAATTGAAAAAATGTAACTTTTTGTACCCGGGATCGTATCTTGTGGGGGTTTGGAGCATCATGGACGCTGTGGTGATAATCTGCGCGTTGGTCTCCATGAGATTCGATTTCGCGTATCTATCGTAAAGAGATAGAGTTAAGCCCTCAACTAGTACCGTCCTAGAACTGTAACGATGGTACTGAGAATTATTTGAATAAGTAGATGGTGCGCGTACTCGGTCATTTTTACGCATTAAAAACTCAAGAAAAGGTAATCGACCGCTTACTATGATTTCTGTCACATCGAGCGAGACGTGAAATACGTTTTTCCGCTAGATGGTGATACTGCTGTTGCTGCTGTGACGAGTGTGGCGAGTGAAAATAAAATGGCAAATTGCATGTTAGGTTTGCGAAACATATGTTAAAGGGGGTTTATTCCACTCTGAATTCGGAAAATCTGCGGCAATATCAGAATTGACAGATATCATAATTGTGCTATGTCGCAATCTATCAGACCATCGCCGAAACCATTGGTCGAGAGATTGGAAGAGAGTTACTTATTTCCATCATTGTACTGAGGTTGTCACTAACCATTCGTCCACCAGACGGCTATATGCAGTGTCCTTCATAAAGTAAGCATCATATGGAACACGATTTGGATAATGATCGACTTTGAAATTCGACTTGAGCGTTTCCAAAAAGATGAAATATAGCCTACTCGGTTGGGATCACGTTACTTTCGCTACACGTCAAAAGTAAATTTTGTTCAAATTATTCAGTTGGATAAAGAGTATTTTTTAGAATTTCAGTAAAGTTCACACTGAAAAGTTACTTCTATTCTAACTTCACACATTTGTTTCGAATTTTAACGTTTCATCACAACTTTAATTTCTTGGTATCTTCTGAATTCTTCTAATTATTGTAACTTTTACATAATTGTCCTAAGCTCTGTTTCGATATTTCGATACATGACTTGGAGATCATTTGAGTACTTTCACATAATTGTCCTAAGCTTTGGTTAGATATTTCTATACATGACTTGGACATCATTTGAGTACTGAAAAATAAATTTCATACAACATAAATTTGAAGCGGGGATTACTATTTTCTGCAGAAAATCTTATTCTTGTCGATAATTAGTGATTGAGAGTTAGTAGCATGATGAAGGTACCAGAATCAAATAGTCTTGTCGGTGTTGATAATTATATTCGGAAAAATATCGAAAACTAAAAGTTGTTATAAAACGTTCAAATTCGAGATACATATATGAAATTGGAATTGAAACGACTTTTCTCAGTTAGCTCTCTTCGAAATCAATCAAAGAACTTGTTTTCAGCGATTAAATTGACAAAAATGTAACTTTTTGTACTTGGGGTCGTATCTTCGGGAGGTGTGGAACATCATGGACGCCGTGGTGGTGATTTGCGCGTCCAGCGGCAGCAAATGTATGCCTAGTATAACAATAGTTATTTGTTATACTAGGCAGAAAAGTACTAGATCGACTGCCGCGGCTGATAGTTCATAGCCGAGCGGAGCGAGGCTAGGAACTCAGCCAATAAGGCAGTCAATCTACATGTGTGAAACATAGAATTTTTTCTCCAAATTTTGTTCAATTTTTTTATTGAAAACTCCATCATTTCGTGTTCACCCAATGTCAGTGTCAATTTTGATTACTAGTTTCATTAGAATTTCTTGGAACGTCGCATAGCAACAAGCTTTTCCTACCTAGGCAGTAGAAGTACACCTTTTCTGCCTGTTAAGCGACAGGAAAAAGCCACTATTCCTGCCGCTTGGAGAAAAATATTTATTGTTCTAGTAGGCAGGAAAGTAGTAGATTGACTGCTGCGGCTGATAGTTCAGCCAAAGCAGTCAATCAATACACATTTGCTGCCGTGTGGAACGTATGATTTAATCTCCAAATGTATAAAACCAATTTGGGTAATGTTATCATTGAAAATTCCATCATTTTGTGTTCACCCAATGTCAGTGTCTATTTTGATTACCAATTTCATTCAAATTACTTGGAACGTTGCATAGCATAGCCTAGGCAGAGAAAGTACAACTTTCCTGCCTGTCAGAGGAAAGCCACTTCCTATGCCGCTTCCATAATATTCTCGCAATGCAATACAATGATAAAACTAACTGCTATAAGTGAACTGCAATGTGCATCTTCTTGTTGCAGGAAACGGCCAGAAGCAGCAAACCTGTCGACGATCAAGTCACTGAGAGTGTTGAGAGTTCTAAGACCTTTGAAAACAATCAAAAGAGTGCCGAAGTTGAAAGCAGTGTTCGACTGCTTAGTGAACTCCTTGAAAAATGTGATAAATATCTTAATAGTGTACATATTATTCCAGTTCATATTCGCTGTGATTGCTGTTCAGCTCTTCAATGGAAAATTTTTCTACTGTACAGATGCAAGTAAATTTACGGAAGTTACCTGCCAGTAAGTACCCCATTCATTGACATATTATGCACAAAAATGTTTCACTAGAAATGAAAATCATTTATCTCAGGATTCCGCTTACTCAATAGGTGTGACAAGCAAAAGTGGAAGTGAGAGTAATACTGAGAGTTTGATTAGCACTACACATCAGTTTCATTCTCAGTGCATTATCATAATATCTATTAATCATCCTTTGAGTTAATGACAATAGTGGTTCTTTTGAATCATTATATAATATTTCAGACCGATTTGTTGAATATAACATCATAAAGGACAAATATGATTACTCATGATTTTCAATTACAAAATTTAAGAATTAATTTTCTTTAGGGGTCAGTACTTCGTTTACGGAGAAGATGGCGATGTGCCACAAGTCGAAACTCGTGATTGGCTACCACAGAAGTTCCATTACGACAATGTTCCTATGGCAATGTTGACGTTATTCGCCGTTCAGACTGGGGAAGGTTGGCCTCAGTGAGTATTATCCACAGTTATGTTTTAGATTATCACGAATCAATATTTCATTTCAAACATTGATGTCTTTCTTTTCTATTTTCTGATTAGTTGACTTATTTTGATTTTTTCCTTCGATCAATGCGATATACTTTTTTGAGTCATCGCAACATTACACGACCAAATATGAAAATGCGACATATCGTGAATAACTGAAAATCATGTTCACAATACTATGAGTTGTTTCCTCACTATTTGATTAACTATTCAATTTTTTCTAGGGTTCTCCAAAATTCCATGGCTGCCACATATGAGGATCAAGGCCCAATACAAAATTTCCGAATCGAGATATCTATTTTCTATATTGTATATTTCGTAGTGTTCCCGTTTTTCTTTGTAAATATATTCGTGGCCTTAATCATCATTACGTTCCAAGAACAGGGTGAAGCTGAACTCCAAAGTGGCGAAATTGATAAAAACCAAGTGAGTACCTTCCAAAAAATGTATATACCTAACACACACATGCGAAATTTTGATCTACGACACTTCAGGCCTGAACATATGAAGTGTCAGATCAATCTGATTTTCGTTTTTCCTGCATTAGAACCTACACTGGTTCAGTAAGGCTGATAAAGTGTTTGTCTATGATCTTGATTTGCTTTTATGTATGCTACCATAACTGAGTGACGAATTCAGCAGCTGACAGACCTACTTATAGAAACACTCATCTGATGAGAATATCAAGTTCAATTATTGTTTGTTTCGATTTGTATACCTAATTGTCGTTCCTTTCACATACCTCAGAGAATACATGAATTGAAACTTCAGTACCTGTTAGCAGTGGCGTAACTTCATATTTTTGGCCCCCCCGCCAAAATCATTTAGGGCCCCCTCGAGACAAACCTTTCCAGTCAGAAGTCCCATCTTTCCATGAACTATTAGTTATATTGAATAACCAACGAGCTTCACAATACGCTTTATTTTCTTTGGGTGAATAACACAACCAATTTCTTGGAATAATTTGCCCAGCATGACTTTTCTGTGAATAATTAAAGTTAGAGAAACTCCTCTTTTGACAAATGTATATCTACTTGAGACGGGCCATTACGAACAATAAAAATTTTTATCGTGTTGCTCAATTCTTGGCCACTGAAATTGCCTTCATCACAAGAAAATGATTCTTTAATTAATACCTCAAGTAATCAATCATCTGACTCAGTTTCATCTCCATGAGTTCTCGGATTCACGTCAGATATGGGCTCCTGGTGGATTTCAGATATAATACTTTTTACATTCACACCATCTGTACCTACAGCTTCGAATGCAGTAGTTGCAGAAATCTCGACATTTGCTAAGTGAAAATTTGATTTATTTTCTATAAACCTTTATTTCTAGTGAATTTTTCTTTTCGGCTCTCTGATAGGAAAATTCTTTCAACGCAGTGACATTTTGTGGCAAATCATCTGATTTGTCATTACCACAGGTATATATTGAAATAATATTCATATTTTCATTTTATTGAAACGAGGAGAGGAAGTCCCGAAAAATCTGGTATAATAGTGTTTCTTCCATAATAATTGCAGAGTCAAAATCCATTCCTGTTTCAATCATCATACTGTTACTACTTGATGGACATTCATCATAATATTCAACTACATTATCCGAGACAGTAGTAGTATTCGTAATGAACGTGGTAATCTTGGACATTTTCCACTTCTTATATTCTAACTTCTGTTTCCTTTTTCTTTTTGATCCACTACTAGTTTTAATCAAGTTCTTCATCCAAAATAATTGGCTTGTATCGTTGATTTCATCACCCTGGACCTACACTGAAAAAAGCATGCCTGCACTATTCGCAGAAATGGAAAAAATTATTTCTGTGGCATATTTATAATTCAAAAATATCCATGTATCAACCAGTTTGGCTGAGTCCTTGCTCTGGTTGGTGGACCCAGGGCCTCAGGGCCCCCACCGAGGAACAGGCCCCCCCGCAACCGCGGGGTTTCGCGGTATAGTAGTTACGCCACTGCCTGTTAGTAACACTGTCACGACACTGGCCATAATCACAAGTGAGGAGTACCGACTGATCGATTTCGTCAGTAAATTCTCAACTACCGGTGTGTTCAAAAATAGCATTCAGTCAACTAATTGACGATAACCTCACAATAGAGAAGGTTTGGGTGCACTGCAACGACTTGGCGTTGTTTACGTATTTTTTATTTATTTATATGCTCGGATTTGATCATAGAAGAAATAAATCGATTAGTTTCACCATATTCACAGATAGCTAAAACGCGTTTTTATACTATAGCGACTGTAATGGTTTCCTTTTCATTCATGTGTTTGGAATTTCAGAAATTCTGTATTGATTGCGATGAGAGACTCTATTGAAATATTATTAGCAATGTATTTTCAAGGGTAGAATGATATTTTTCATAATTCTTACTATCTGATTACCCCAAGAGAATGGCCAAAATTATTCACGAAATAATTGATTACTTCAAATGCCTGAAGAACTGATGGAACAGTTGAATATTTTAATAATAGCCAGATAGCTCCAATACTCAGAGTTGAATCAAACTTAGATTATAACATGAAATATTTCAGTGTCTAATCGCACTGATACCTGAGTTATTATTGAGGTTATGTTTCTGATTTTTCTTTGTTTTCAGTATTTTCTTGTTGCTTTCCTAAAATCAAACTATATTTGTGATTACTCTGGTTTCAAAATGATAATGATTCGGTTCATTCCAATGGGCATTCTAACTGGCAAAAATATGAAACTAATCAGTGTGGAATGAGTTTGATGAAAATTCATCGGAATTAATTTTTTCCATTCTTCAATTCCTTTTCCACTGAAATATTTCTGCTAGACACTGATTTTCCGTAGGTATGTGAATGTTTTTCAGTTTATAAAATGAATTGAATTGTGTAAATACTTTATGGTCATTATTTGATTTTTCTTACAGAAATCTTGTATCGATTTCACAATACAAGCACGTCCATTAGAGAGGTATATGCCGAACAAGCGGAACAGCTTCAAGTATAAAATCTGGAGAGTAGTGGTTTCTACTCCCTTCGAGTACTTCATCATGATGCTGATCGTCTTCAATACTCTCTTGCTCATGATGAAGGTGAGTTTGATGTCGATTTCTCTATGTTCAACTCTCTAACATGTTTCATTCTGATCCAAGAATATACCAAAATTGGATGGAGAATATTTGATTATGTACATGAAAAAATTATTGGAATTATGAGATTTATCTTTTGGAATTGTGTTATGAAGTAGAAACTCAAAGTGGGGAACTTGACATGTTTTATAATGAATCAGGATTCAATACACCTTCGAAAATGAAAAATAATTCACTAGTATTTCCGATACTCCAACAATATTTTCTTAGTCAGGAATACTAATTGAGAATAATACCCTACTAACTTCCGAAGTTCATCACCATCAACGATCATTTTTCAGCAGAACAATAATGTTTGTATAGTAAAAACTAATGAGATCTGTTGAACACATTTCTATGAACCTTTTAGGAACGTGTTGAGGCCCATAAATATGTTTTCCTAATTGTTGAAGTTTAAGTATGATACAACAAGAAACATTGTTCTCAATTCCCAGCCTTGATCATCTTGATATGAAAAACATTGAAAAAATTCTTTTCATAACCTTATACTCACGAAACTTTATCAAGTTTAGGACATACAAGGCATCGTAACTTTGAATGGAAACTGGTTGGAATATAATTTTGGTAAATTCTTGGATTTTCAAAAGTCGGCAGCTACAAAAAGAAACATCAAAAATCTACACACATAAATAGCGAATGTATACACTCAGACTGCTAGTGAACGCATTGTGCACATTTGCTATGAACCTGGCAAAATGCTTTATGTCGATAATCGTTTTGATGTGATGAAAGTGTGTTGTGAATAACTGTCTATAGATGGTAATCCGAAACGACTACTCCGTTGTTAGATAAATGTTGGAATAGTTCAACTTCGACTCGTAGTGGAGTCTAGATCTACACATGATATAAATCAGTTTTGATCAGCGTGATCTTCATCATTTTCCTTCTTAACTATACACAATATGATGCTGATCAATTCAATTGAGTATTCTCGTAGACCTTGATGGTTCTTCTTCAGAATGATGGTGAAAAATGGAAGAAAAAATAATATGTATATACAGTACAAGTGCAGCAATGTGAGATACCGATACCTTGAAGTTTGACTCTCACAGTTTCTTGATAATATAAGCCGTGATTTTTCCACTGAACCACACATCTTTCGCTTGCCAAAAAATTCGATAGACTTTTGTAGAAATGGAAGTGTGAAGGCTCCTCGAGTGCCAATTTTATTTTGTTAACAGTACGACAAGCAGGGGGATAACTACACGAAAACCCTAAAGTACCTCAACTGGGGATTCACAGGAATGTTCACGGTGGAATGCCTCCTCAAGATTCTAGCCTTTGGCGTTCGGGTAAGGAATAGAGGTCTTCAACATCATACAAATTCAAGCCTATATGACATTCAATTATATTCAAAAAAATCCATCGAAAATCACATCAATGATAGCTGCAATTGACGCTGTCGTTGCAGTTGCGATTGAAAAGATATTCGTCTTTATGCTTAGACGATATCAGATCCGAGATAAGAACGTACGTCACCGAACTATTTGTATTTGTCGCAGGATTCTTCTGTGATTGGTCAAGTTTAGATGAAAGTCGAAACCGTATCTGCTGAAGATAAAACCTCCGAAGACAACAATGCCAGTTGCAGCTACTGTTGAAAAGTTCATAATTTGAGGCGATTCTCCTCCAGTGACTATTTGAAATCAGGAATAAATATCTGAACACATGAAAGCTGAAAATATTTCGAGTTGTCGTCTACTTATGTTAGTGGAAACTGAGATAATTGAGTGTTATATTGCTGAGTTTAATATATAACCTACTGAATACAGCTTCTGATAGTTGATATAATTGTCTATTCAAACGAATGATGTAAATTTGCGCATTGCATTGCTACAAGCACGGTGATCATTATTCCGAGTCCAATTCTTGTTAGGTTTATTTGTAGACCAAGGAGAGGTTGGTATTTTAATGAACAAATATATAAGAGCCCATCATCGGAGATAAACATCACTGGATAATAGATCATAACCATCGAGATTTAGTATCTACATCCAAAAAAGTGTTGAAATCTAGGTAGCAGGAAAATAAAATAATTCAAGACTTACGAATAGAATGTTGCATGATGGTTGATAGAGGTGCATTCAAAATGTTATTTTTGATATTGTCATCAATGTTTCTGTTTTCTCTCGAGATACTCTGATCTACGAACAATACTTTTCCATTGAAGAAATGAGATGAGTTCGCATTCATTTCGTCGAATCTCAACCACCATTCTGTCCGTTTGGTCTGATATAGTATGCATCACAAGTTATGTACCGACAATGCATTAAACGCATGTTCCACTTCAATGTCTATAACACACCATTTTACACCAGAAAACTGAATGCAGCTTCTTCTAATTGTTAATGCATGTGAATGTATACTGAACATGAGTATCTGTTATTCTTTAGAGCAATGTTCATGAATGTGAACAGCACCAAACACTCTTGGATAATATTCTGGCAGATATTTGTATTATATTTGTTGGGACTGTTGTCTGAATGCACATTTCCAAATCGATATATTCTCGTCAAAGTTTGAAGGTAGTTATTTTGATACCTATGCTAAATTTCTATCAATCAAAATAATTAGGAGGAGAAGGTTAAAACAGTTCCAAAAACACGAATAGTTAGGGGCGTCATATCAGTAAAAAGTAGGTGGGATAAGAAATCTCATTCCACGACTAGCATTACCAGTCAGACTCGACAAGCGCAGTCGGAAGATGTCGAACAGCACTTTATCAGAAATCGTTCCTCTGTAGGCGAAGCTCTGGAATTCATTTCCTGAGGAAGTATTTCCAAGAGCTTATCTTCGTACATTATAGGGATTCCATTCTGTGCGCACCAAGCGATAAAGAAAAACGAGAAAAATTTAGTATTGTAAAAATTCGCAACAGACACACTATTTTTGGATTGGCCAAATGCCTTAAGATTGAACATTATATTTTTCGAAGAGTGATAACAATTCCATCCCATTATCATAATATGAATTATTTAGTTTCATGTTCTCAGTTCGTTTCGTTGCAATTGATATGGAATGATCTGAAAACAAGAACAATAAAAAGAGCAAGTGAAAAGTATTTCAAATACTGTCCAGCAGGTGGAAGTTCGTCAGAGTTCTTGAAATGTTCTCTTATAGTTTCATTAAATGAAAATATCTCAATGATTGTGTCAACTACTGGTTCAGTGGTGATAATGATCTTTATCGAGCAAGGGATGCGGATTCGGAGATTCTCTAATTCACTCAATTATTTTTATCTCATCCGAATCAACAACTTTCACTCATAACAGCAAATAAGATACTCATCGTTAATTGCTGGAGGCGCCAATTTTTATATTTTAGGAAAATTTATCATTAGCTTCTTCCACCGAATGATGTTCAAAAAATTTCTTTTATGTTTCTTGCGGTGTCAATTCTATCAGATCGGGTATTACAGAAATTTATATTCGAAGGAAAATGATTTTGGTATCAATTATTCCAGTCCTAGAGGCGCTCCTAGATAGTGATGTATATATCAGTATACATACAGAAAGCTCCGCAATTAATTTCTTACTGAACGCACGTTTTCTAAAATCGATGATAACCTTCGAATTTTGACGAGCATCGTGAAACCATGTTGCCTTGTTGTCCTGCCGACTTTTTTCGTGAAGCTTTGACAAGCCAGCTCTCATCTCGCCTCTCTCGACCGACAGTACATTTCTGAGTTGTTTGTAGTACCACGACTCGCCACCCTTGTTGTCAGACATCCTCGCCGTCATGAACATACTTTTTACATTTCTGTTCCTATGCGAGACCGTGCTGAAGCTCATCGCTTATGGCATCAAGGTAAACTTTTCAACATTGATTACGTGTTTGTTTTTACGACAAGAAATAATATTAACCTTTATCAAAGAAGATTTCATTTGATTATCGTAGCAGGATGATATACCTTTAGCATTGATGGTTGGTAAAGAAAGAATCGTATCAAATAACATTTATTAGTATTGAGATGGAATATTCTGATATATTATGAACATGAAAAAATGTATATATATATATATATATAAAATACTAGTGATTTAGAAACAAACACTATGGTTCAATTCTTCATAGGGTTGCAGTCAAAATTTTAGGCATCAAATAAGTGAACTCTTCGTTATTTAGCCGAGCTTTCGGAAATGTTTATTTCCTTTTTCAAGACATCTATAAGAAAAATGGTATGCATAAAAAACAACATCAAACTCATAAGAAACTAAGTACTTACTTAACATGAGATTGGTTTAAAGTTGGAACAATTAAAGAACAGACGATTTAATTGTTCCAACTTTAAACCAATCTCATGTTAAGTAAGTACTTAGTTTCTTATGAGTTTGATGTTGTTTTTTATGCATACCATTTTTCTTATAGATGTCTTGAAAAAGGAAATAAACATTTCCGAAAGCTCGGCTAAATAACGAAGAGTTCACTTATTTGATGCCTAAAATTTTGACTGCAACCCTATGAAGAATTGAACCATAGTGTTTGTTTCTAAATCACTAGTATTTTACCTCAACTAGTCAGTCATAGACTACCCTTCTCTTAAACTATATATATATATATATATTGAGAAATACATTGATAATTCGCCTTCATTATGTGATGAAAATATTGATTCTTCCTCGGTATTTTCGACAGAAAACACCTACTTTCCTGGCTATATGCCACGACGTACATTGAATTATATCTGTTGAACACACACGATAAGAATTTGAAAATAGAATCTTCTGAAGTTGAGAACTTGCATTCTCCTTCAGATGAAGATATGTATGCACATAATATCATCTTGCAGATACAAGCGGAACAACTACTTTCCTGGCTATTTGCCACATCGAACTTCAAATTATATGCTTATATATATGCTTTTGTTTCTGAATGTATGATAGATCGATATCCATCATACATTACTTGGGAATAAATTTTGAATTGAAAAACCCAATCACGAATCTGCGAATAGTAGTCTATCAAAATAACAAGTTTGAATGGTTTAAGTTTGAACACCTTTTGGTTGTTCAACTGATATTATTCAATGTTCGACGTGGCGAATAGCCAGGAAAGTAGTTGTTTTCTGTCGAATATTCAGAATGATATGTGCCTACATATTATTATCTGAAGTATAATACAAATTCTCAGTTTCAGAAAATGTTATTTTCAAGTTCTCATCGTGTGTGTTCAATTGATATAATTCAATGTTCATCGTGGCATATAGACAGGAAAGTAGTTGTGTTCTGTTAAATATACCGAAGAAGTATCGTTATCATTTTCTTCATGTTCATAATATATCTGAGGATATTCCTTTTTAATACTTCCATACCCAATCAAGGAGTTCAAACATGAACTATGGAAATTTGTTGTTTCCATAGACCTCTTATTGCAGATTCACGATTGGATTTTTCTCAATCCAGAATTTCTTTCAACGCTTTGTATAATGAATAAAAATGTTTCATACATACGAAAATAACATTCATGAGAGTTAAACCATAAATATCAGCATCCGGATTACAAATCATGTGCAAAAATTCATATTCAAATTGTTGTCATGTGTTGTACCAGTGCCCATTCAACTCCAGTAATGATGAATTAGGGGACTCAAATAAACTAACAACTAATAATTGAATAAGGAACATTTGAAAGCTGATTATTCCATTCGAATGATAATATTTCTCTCTGATTTATAAGAATCGAAAACTAATAATATGGCCATTATTCTTCCTAACAACTAAGAATAAACAATCGATCATCAGCTCTCATTGCACACTGAACTGGCATATAGCAGTTGCAGGTGGTTATGGCTAGGTAAACCTCTTTCTATTTTTTTCATCGAACTTCTTGGATGATCACACATTTTGAAATATTCGCGCTACCAGGAAATCCAAAGATTGCCTATTGACATTCCACAGCTGGCTAGCTAAACGTTTTCAAATTTTTTTTATCGAACTTCTCGAATGATCACACATTTCAAAATATTCGCACTGCCAGGAAATCCAGAGATTGCTTATCGGCATTCCACCGCTGGTTGTAGTTTGAATGAATATCAATCAACTCGGATGGCTATGATACTTTATGGGCACTTTCTGAAATGGCAGACATAAGTAGGAGGGTTATGTGAGTGCACCTCAGAGGTGCAGCAACCTTGAACGTGGGCGGCCTTGAACGTGTGTGGTCTTGGGCATGTGACTGCACCGCACCGTCGCCGCAGTGACGTCAGTGACCTTGGACGTGGGTGGTCTTGAGCGTGAGACGATGTGGGCCTTCGAAGGGGTCTGAAAAGACCCACCGCAGCGATGCAGCAACC